GTCTTTAAAAAGTAAGACTATTACCGATGAATAGCTGATAGGCTGTTTAGTTTACCCTGAAATTACCCAAATAAGTGAACGGTCCCTTTAAGTTTCGTACTATCTTGATAACCTTATATTCAGCCCATGTATGATCATAACACCGAATATTGTTAAAAAACTACTCTGTGTTATATTGATACGATTTACCTAATTCCCTTAAAAGTAAGTTTGGTTCAGAGATAAGAGATTACAGAGATATATTAAAGGCTAAAATATGCGATTTTTCCACAGCAGTTAGTTAGAGTATTTCTTTAAAAATTGTGAAACTTAGTCCCTGAATGGGTATTATATGCAACAATTGGTGGTTAGATGGCAGCCCAAAACCTTTTGTAAGAATATCATATGTCGTGCTGGTTAGCAGTCTGTTTTTTTATTTAGTCTGTGGTTTTGTACATTATAGTTTAAAAGGTGTGAAAATACTATTTTTTAATTCACCTGAATTTTGTTTTTAAACTTCCTCTTTGTGTCGGAGGTGGTAAATAAGGGGAGTCCAGTCGACTTCGGAGGAGTGTCGGAGGTGGTAGATGAGGGGAGTCCAGTCGACTTCGGAAGAGTGTCGGAGGTGGTAAATGAGGGGAGTCCAGTCGACTTCGGAGGATGAAATTACTATCACCTCTGGGTAAATATTTCTGAATACCTTGTNTTTATGATATAATATATAATAAAATCTTTATAGGAAGTGTTTTCAAATCATTCTGTCTTTGCATCCTAATGTCGTAGATATTTTGAATTATGAATTTGTTTAGGTCCGAAAGTCAGCCAACAGATGCCAATAGTTCTATATTCTAAAGAATTTAAAGAATTTTGAAAAGATTTTTTTTTTATCAATATATTATACTTACTTCAGAAGCTATTTGTTCAAGGTTTATGAAGTTAATACCAGCTGCAAAATAGCAACTAAATTAGGTGACAATTTTTTGCATTGATAAAAAAATATGGTATAATTGAAATGTTTAAGGGAAAGCTTGAAGGTCATAAAATATGACTTTTTGAACGTTGAAATTGTGCTTATATCTAATAATGGAGGCTGAAGGCTGGGCATGTTATAACTTGTTTAAACCTGTTGGTTAAAGATTTGTTACTATGAGCACCAAAATACTCTGGAATAGGACTTTAAGACTTAACTTACTCTGGAATAGGACTTTAAGACTTAACTTACTCTGGAAAAGGACTTTAAGACTCAACTTACTCTGGAATAGGACTTTAAGACTCAACTTACTCTGGGGACTTTAAGACTCAACTTACTCTGGAATAAGACTCAACTTACTCTGGGGACTTTAAGACTCAACTTACTCTGGAATAAAACTTTAAGACTCAACTTACTCTGGGGACTTTAAGACTCAACTTACTCTGGAATAGAACTTTAAGACTTAACTTACTCTGGAATAGGACTTTAAGACTTAACTTACTCTGGAATAGGACTTTAAGACTCAACTTACTATGGAATAGGACTTTAAGAAGACTCAACTTACTCTGGGGACTTTAAGACTCAACTTACTCTGGAATAGGACTTTAAGACTCAACTTACTCTGGAATAGGACTTTAAGACTCAACTCACGATTTTAAATAGTTTGCAATGAATATGAGATTGAGACACTTCAATTGAGCAATTTGAAAAGACTAATTTGATTTTAAAAGTTACCAGTAACACTATTTGCCCTGTAACAAACAACATCAAATACACTTACAGGGACCGTACCCGTAATTTCAAGTGACCTTTCATGCAAAGATGGCAATGCCCGATACACAACCGTACCCTTAAAACCTTTATCTGATATTGTTGTTTTCTCTGCTTAAAAGTTTTCTATTTATTTTCAGCCCAGGTTTTCCCACACTAGAAATGTGCAAGTTACTTGTTGTAGAGAAACCACAATTGAAAATAATCAGCTTTTATAAATTATAAACATTAATATATAATTCATACTTGATCAGACAAAGCTCTATAGGCGGTTTAAAGGGTATCAGCTGTAAATCAGGCATTGCCATCTTTGCACAGGGGGTCTTTGGTTTTACGCTTACAGTCCTTTTAATTGTGAAAGATGTGAACAGTCCCTTTAATTATGAAAGATGTGTACAGTGTCTTTAATTGTGATAGATGTGTACAGTCCCTTTGATTGTAAAAGATGTGTACAGTCCCTTTGATTGTAAAAGATGTGTACAGTCCCTTTAATTGTAAAAGATGTGTACAGTCTCTTTAATTGTGAAAGATGTGTACAGTCCCTTTAATTATGAAAGATATGTACAGTCCCTTTGATTGTGAAAGATGTGTACAGTCCCTTTGATTGTGAAAGATATGTACAGTCCCTTTGATTGTGAAAGATATGTACAGTCCCGTTAATTGTGAAAGATGTGTACAGTACCTTTTATTGTGAAAGATATGTACAGTCCCTTTAATTGTGAAAGATATGTACAGTCCCTTTAATTGTGAAAGATATGTACAGTCCCTTTAATTGTAAAAGATATGTACAGTCCCTTTAATTGTGAATGATGTATACAGTCCCTTTAATTGTAAAAGATATGTACAGTCCCTTTAATTGTGAATGATGTATACAGTATCTGTAATTGTGAAAGATGTGTACAGTCCCTTTGATTGTGAAAGATGTGTACAGTCCCTTTAATTGTGAAAGATGTGTACAGTCCCTTTAATTGTAAAAGATATGTACAGTCCCTTTAATTGTGAATGATGTGTACAGTCCCTTTAATTGTAAAAGATATGTACAGTTCCTTTAATTGTGAAAGATATGTACAGTCCCTGTAATTGTAAAAGATATGTACAGTCCCTTTAATTGTGAATGATGTGTACAGTATCTTTAATTGTGAAAGATGTTTGGTCAAAACTCCATCAACTGTATATTTCATTAAAGATTGGTTTAGACTTTAAACATAAAAATATTATTTTTTTAGTAAATTTCACTTACATTTGTGTTTGATATTCATTTTCAGTTGAATTAGAGATTTCCTCTTGAACTTCGGGAATATCTTAAAAAAAACATTTAAAAAAAAGTTTTAGACTTAACAAAGAATCTCGATATCCTTTTTTATGATAAATAGATATTTAAAACTAAAGTTCTCGCTAACTTAATGCTTATAAAAAATGCGACTCAATAAATTTTCTTCCGGACAAATTCATTCATATCTCCGACAATTTAATGGTTAAAAAATAGCAGATCAAATTTTGAAAATATATAAACACCAGTTCATAACCAGAAAACACTGGAATAATATATCAATTCTCTCTACTATACAAGCTCGTCATGTCTACTGCTATATTCCTTCTCTAAATGACGCCCATCCGGCTTACATTCTCAACTTCCTGGCCAGGAACAGCTGTTTCCATTCAGTTTTTTTTTCCATTTGCGAAGCGAAGAGAAGCTACGCCGTATTCTTTCTTTTTCAAAATCTTTCAAAATCTTCCAAAATCCACAATGAAACCGTGAGCTGCCGCCAAAGTATTTTTAGCTAGCTATTGTTACTGTAGAGCTCGTATATTGAAAGAATTCATATTTTTTGCGCAATGTCCTCTAAAACTAAAAAAATGTAACAAGAAATTACGGTCTTATTTCTTTTTTTTGATTGTGGAATGCAAAAAGAATTTTGTGATTTTAAATTATTCAATTTTATAAATAAATTAGTCAAATTTAAAAATAAAGAACGAAGACGACAATCCGTCTACTGCTAAACTGGTTAACGCAATTTCGGTTTCTGGCAAACCAAAATGTATGTAAAAAATATTATAGAGGTCACGTGTACACATGTTACCTGAAAGATTTGTTTTAAACATGAAGTTTCTTCTAGCTTTTTGAAGACGACCTCTCAAATATTGAAAACCAGCGAGCTTTTCAGATCCAGGAGGTTCCTCATTTTTAGAGAAAGTTAAAATGAGCAGACACAATGTTCTGATATCTAATTATATGAGTGTCGGTGCGATAAGAGGAAACAGTTATTTCCCATTTTAAGAAAGCCATTGCTATAAAAAAAACCTCTAATCTGATCAGCAATATGTAACAATACACAAGTCATATTATAATTAAGATGTCATGCAAATGAAAATAATTAATTAAAACGAGAATATGATTCTTAATTAGCATTCTTAATCTTAAAAAAATATTGAATTTTTAGAAAGATTAAAATGACATTATCTACTTATCATTAAACTAACATGACTATTGGATATGAAATCAAACAAAGACAACCTCCAGTAAGCTCTCTTATTTTGAATTTTTTTTTCACGGGCAACGCCGGGCAGGAAAAGGTTTTAGATATTTTTCTCTTATTTTTTTGACACCTGAAATTGCAGACATTTCTCAATTCTGTTGCTTGATTGTTTTAACTGTGTTTCCAACCAGACTTTTCTCCAACTGAATAGGATTGTTCACAAGTTTTGAATGCATAGTGACCAACAAAAAACGGATTTTAAAGGGACAGGTATACTGGTGTAAATGAACTGAGTTTTTGCCACAAACTATGATTTTATAATCTTTACTAGCTTCGGAACCTTCGCTGCCAAGGTTACTAAAAGTTACTCCCGCCGTTTATAATCTCAAACCCAAGCTAAAAACATTCCCGTGGGTGTCCCGAGTTCCCCAATCAAAATTTAAGACAAATCGGTCCAGCAATTCCTGATTATGATCGGAAAAAACAAACGAACAGACAAACAAAGATTACATCTTTATATATAGATACATTTGCAACCCAATATTGTGAATCTTAAATATTTCTGTCAGAGCTGGGAACTTTAGAATGGTGGATATCAGGATTAATGCGTAATCTTTTGTTTTTCCTAATCTCGAGACTAACATAATCTTGAGATTATGTTAGTGTTGAGATTAAATATTTAGATCAACAATTGGATTCTAGGAACGCCAGATTGGTTCGTTTTCTTGACTGGATGATCCTTCACTTAATTTCTCACCCATTTATTTATTAATAAATTAGTTAAAATTGGTTGAAAAAGAATCTCAAAAGTATATTAATAAATACTTTTCTTCACCGATTAATTAACAAAATGGCCGACGACACATTCTATTCTTGATTTGTTAGAAATGGCGGATTTAAGGCTGCCATTGGTCAATACAATTTACGAACTATATTCCTGCACTCTTATTGGAGAAAATAGTTTACTGATATCCAAAGAGAGAGAAAAAGGGTTGATTAAGGACTAAAATTAAAAGTTTCCACAGTGGATATTCGGATTAAGTATAAGTCTGGATTAAAGGTTATCCATTCTAAAGTTCACAGCTCAGATCAAATAGTTTAAGTTTGAAATAAACAAAGGTTTACACCGTCAGGCTGCAAAGAAATAGAAAAATTAGAAAATGTGAGTTTATAGCAAAGACTCAATATCTTTCCTGCAATACACTTTTAGATTATAATATAAAACGTCCTACTTTTTTGTGAGGGTAAATCTATGAATCCAGGTTTTTGACCGGGGTTTCCAGGGAGTGTCTTCTTTTTGTTTTTTATATTTCAACCAGATAAGAAGACCAAGCAAATATAAAACTGAAAAAATATTAATACTATATTTTTATGCTCTCGAGGGTTCCACGTGGGATAGACACCTCAGTAGAAATGCGCTAGATATAGAGAAACAAAGCTTTCAAGGGTACTGCTGTGAATCAGGTATTGCCATCCTTGCATTGAGGTCATTTGAAATCATGCTTAAAGTCCTATTCATCACCTGAAACTGTACAGAACCATCCCAAAAAGATTTCTGCCCGAGATGGTCGAAAACTCGAGAAATGTTCGGAGATATAAACGCCGGAATCAGACACATTTGTATCGTTCAAATTCTGACCAAGATATCCTCTCCATGTTGTGGAATTAATCTTACTGATCCTATTGTACTGTACACTATTTGTCAAATCTTTGGCGGAATTTTCTCCAAGAGTTTGGAGGATTTTAATTTTAGACAATCTCGTAGATTTCTCAGCAGAGTTTTGGAACATTTCCAGTCTGTTGATAATACTCCAAATATTATCAAATTCCATTTTTTGAAATCTACACCAAAAAAATGTATTTCTTGCTCAACTTTCATAATGTAAGATTATCCAAAAAAGGCTAAAAGTGAGTATTATGTTTTATGTTAGGTTGTATGTTATGCTGTATGTTATGCTGTATATTATGTTGTATATGCTATGTTAATTTTATTTTGTACTTTATGTTGTATGTTATGCTGTATGTTATGTTGTATGTTATTCTGTATGTTATGCTGTATGTTATGCTGTATGTTATGTTGTATGTTATGTTGTATGTTATGCTGTATTTTATGCTGTATGTTATTTTGTATGTTATGCTGTATGTTATGCTGTATGTTATGCTGTATTTTATGCTGTATGTTATTTTGTATTTTATGCTGCATGTTATGCTCTATGTTATGCTGTATGTTATGTTTTATGTTATGTTGTATGTTATGCTGTATGTTATGTTTTATGTTATGCTGTATGTTATGCTGTATGTCATGTTGTATGTTATGTTGTATGTTATGCTGTATGTTATGTTGTATGTTATGCTGTATGTTAAGTTTTATTTTATGCTGTATGTTATGTTGTATGTTATGCTTTTGTTATGCTGTATGTTATGTTGTTTGTTATGTTGTAATTTATGTTGTTTGTTCTGCTGTTTGTAATGTTGTATTCTATCTTGATTGTTATGTTGTATTTTATGCTAAATGTTATGTTGTATTTTATGTTGTATTTTATGCTGTATGTTATGTTGTATTTTATGCTGTATGTTAAGTTGTATGTTATGCTGTATGTTATGCTGCATGTTATATTGTATTTTATGCTGTATGTTATGCTGTATGTTATGCTGTATGTTATGTTGTATGTTATGCTTTGTGTTATGTTGTATGTGATGACTTATTTTTTGTTGTATTTTATGCTGTATGTTATGCTGTATGTTTTGTTGTTTGTTATGTTGTATTTTATGCCGTATGTTGCTTTCGACCCCACTCAGAGACTGTATCATTTATAGTTCATAATCTGAGAATTGCAGTGTTGCAGCGAAATGCATATATTCATGTTGCAGATAAAAAGCAGTTTAAACCGTTAATTTAAATATTTAAAGGGTCTGTTAACGTTATTACAAGGGACTTCACACCTACATGAGGAAGATTTTTTTCTTTGTTTTCGCTGCATAGATTCGTAAGCCACATTTAAAAAAATATAAATTCAAAATTATTAATTTAGATAAATAAACAAGGATATGTTCATCATTTTTGTGCAGAAGAAGCTTTAAAAGAATTATATAATGCCACGTGACATGAGACTAAGCCTACACTGGCCAAGTATGGTAGTTGAACTGAGATTACAGTATTTTTGAGAAATTATTAAGGATGAATTTGATATTTAAAATCATCATTGATTGTCCATTTTGGAGGGATGATTTTAAAAATGACGAAAAAAAATGTAAAAAAATGTCTACAGTAAACTAATTACATGTTTAGGAACATACAGGGCGAGTCAAAAAAAAGTGTGATTTGCGGCGCCTGGTGCAAAATTGTAACTTTTTTGTGGAACTCAGCTGTATGGTGTTTTTTTAATATTTTTTGAAAATTTGTAATTTTTTTGGTACTTCAATGGCCCAAAAGAAAATCCGCGAATCTTTTTTTTCTCTCAAAATCAAAAGTTCAGAAAAGCATAAATGTGCATTCATATCATTTCTCTCTACTTATAAAATTTTATTAAAATTGAATCACAGAATCACAGAAAATTGGCAAAATTGTAATAAGAAAATTCGCAATTTTCAGTTCTGGGCTAATTTTTAAGGAAAAGTTATTTAAATTTACTAGTTCCTTTCTACTTAGTATATTCTAAAGTATTAAATATACGTTGTTTAGTTGAAATCTTAAGAACCATTGAAAAACAATTTTTCTGTAAAAATTATACCAGAACTGAAAATTGCGAATTTTCTAATTACAATTTTGCAAATTTTCTGAGATTCTGTGATTCAATCTTTTTAAAATTTTAGATTTCTATAGAAACAATTTATTTACACATTTTTGTATTTTTTTGGTACTTCAATGGTTCAAAAAAAAATTCCGCGAACCTTTTTTTCTTTCAAAATCAAAAGTTCAGTAAAACAAAAATGTGTAAATAAATTGTTTCTATAGAAATCTAAAATTTTAAAAAGATTGAATCACAGAATCTCAGAAAATTTGCAAAATTGTAATTAGAAAATTCGCAATTTTCAGTTCTGGTATAATTTTTACAGAAAAATTGTTTTTCAATGGTTCTTAAGATTTCAACTAAACAACGTATATTTAATACTTTAGAATATACTAAGTAGAAAGGAACTAGTAAATTTAAATAACTTTTCCTTAAAAATTAGCCCAGAACTGAAAATTGCGAATTTTCTTATTACAATTTTGCCAATTTTCTGTGATTCTGTGATTCAATTTTAATAAAATTTTATAAGTAGAGAGAAATGATATGAATGCACATTTATGCTTTTCTGAACTTTTGATTTTGAGAGAAAAAAAAGATTCGCGGATTTTCTTTTGGGCCATTGAAGTACCAAAAAAATTACAAATTTTCAAAAAATATTGAAAAAACCCCATACAGGAGAGTTGCACAAAAAAAGGTACAATTTTGCACCAGGCGCCGCAAATCACACTTTTTTTTGTCTCACCCTGTATTTATTATTATATATTTGTCAATTAATCAATTATAGAATCAGATGTTTCTTTTTTATTACTAAATTGATTTTCTTATTCTTTATGAATTTGTTCGCAAATTTCTTCAAATTTTTTAAATATCGTCTTTTCATTAAAAATTGCAGGAAATCTACAGAAAATTATTTTAAATGTTTAGACATTACAGAAACCAATAACTTAATAAGATTAATTATTTCCAATGATAAGAATTAATTTTTATTTTCTCAAGCTAATTAGTTTACTGCAGAATTTGTTGTGACATTTCGTTGTCGTCATTGAATGATTTAAATAAAACCGATTTTCAAAATTAACCCTCAAAAATGGAAAACCTATGAGAATTTTAAAGATTACATTTGCGCTCTTGCTGAACAAATATGCACCGTAAAAACGTCTGATAGGTCTCAAATGAATTTTTAAAAATGTCTCAATAATACTGCAATCCTAGTTCAACTACCATACATTGCCGGTCATTCCCTTTAAGTAAGAAAACAAATTTAATGAAAATCTCTTCTAATTTCAACTAGCCTGGGAAACCAGCGTTACACTTATATTAGTTACTCCAGCCGTTTACCCGCACTTGGACGATTTTATCGGGAAACTAAAGGAATTGAGTCTTTGCCACAAACTCTGATTTTCTAATCACTATATCTGTTAGGTCAAATTATCTGAGTTTGAAATGTCAAAGGTTTACAACATCGAGTTCTAAAGATATTGTGGTTTAAATATTTGATTTTGTTCCAAAGACTCAATTCCTTTTTGCTATTAACTTAGAATCTCAAAACCAAACTAAGAACAGTCCAGTGGCTCTCCCGATTTCCCCAATCAAATTTGAGACAAATCGGTCCAGGAATTCCTGAGTTATGATCGGACAAATAAACAGAGATTACTATCATTTCTAAAACCGTTTATTAAAGTTTAAAGTTTTAGCTTGGTAAAAATATTTGATAATTGTAGAATACAACTGCTGCTGTTCATGCTCTCTTCATTTTCTTAGAAGAAAGGTTTTCTCTGTTTTCATTTCAAGTAATTCGATTTTATAAGATTTGATATTTTCCTACTTTTTACAGGTCTTTATCGGTTCGCAAAAAATAAGTCTGGTATTCAGGATGTATGTGAAAATATAATTGTAAATCCAAAATTACTTTCCCACAATAAGTTTTCCATATTATTTTCATTATTTTCGTTGATGGATGTTTCAAAATAAATGGAACCAAACATTTTATTCTAAAAAAACAATGAATTACAAATTTTTAATTTTTAGTGTTTGTTTAAAAAATACTTTTAAACTATTGATTTCAAAATGTTGTGACAGAAATATTGCAAGTTTTCCCAAAGATTTTTAAGACGCCCTGAACAGATATTTTAATATAACCTTATAATATATTAGAAATCACGAAAAGTCAAATGTTACAAGACAGGTATAGTTCATCATATCAATTCAAATCTGCAGAGATAGGGATGAGGAATATATATCTGCTATTAAATAATATTTTAATTCACTTTCTTTACCCCCTTTAACAAAGAAATTGAGTCTTTGCCACGAACTCAAATTTTTAAATCCTTATATCTTTGCAATTTGAAGGTGCAAAAACTTTTATATTTCAAACTTAGATTTTTTTATCTAAGAGAATTCTGTAGTTTAAACTATCTTAGGTCTATGACATTGTGTTGCAAAAATATATATATCAGAAAATCTGAGTTTGCGGAAAGACAATATGTTAAATTATGGTTTAATATTCAAAGCAATTATTTCAAAAACCATTTATTTGACCAATTATATAATACATCTTCTGACCAGATTAACTGTTTAAAATGAAAGTATTTTTACTGCTCGCTCTTATTTACATAAATCCTGCTTTTTCAACCTTCAGGTGTGTAACTTGGTATTGATTACAAACTCCTAAATTACAAACTTCTGAAATACTAACTCCTGATATACAAACTCCTGAAATACAACTCCTACATATAATACTAACTCCTGATATGCAAACTCCTGAAATACAACTCCTCCATAGAATATTAACTCCTGAAATTTAAACTCCTAAAATTCAAACTGCGGAAATACAAACTCCTGTATAACCAACTTCTGGGGGCCAAGCACTACGGCTAGAGCATTGTAAGGGGGCCGAGCACTGCGGGAAAAGAATTCAGAGTCTTCCTTCAGAAGTTTGTCTGTTAGGAGTGTTTTCTTAAGAAGTTTGCCTTTTAGAAGTTTAAATTTAAGAAGTTTGATTTTTAGGAGTTTATATTTAAGAAGTTTGTCTTTTAGGAGTTTGTCTTTAAGAAGTTTGCCTTTTAGGAGTTTATATTTAAGAAGTTTGTCTTTTAGGTGTTTATATTTAAGAAGTTTGTCTTTTAGGAGTTTAAATTTAAGAAGTTTGTCTTTTAGGAGTTTATATTTAAGAAGTTTGTCTTTTAGGAGTTTATATTTAAGAAGTTTGTCTTTTAGAAGTTTGTATTTAAGAAGTTTGTCTTTTAGGAGTTTATATTTAAGAAGTTTGCCTTTTAGAAGTTTAAATTTAAGAAGTTTGATTTTTAGGAGTTTATATTTAAGAAGTTTGTCTTTAGAAGTCTGTATTTAAGAAGTTTGTCTTTTAAGAGTTTATATTTAAGAAGATTGTCTTTTAGAAGTTTTTATTTAAGAAGTTTGTCTTTTAGGAGTTTGTATTTAAGAAGATTGTCTTTTAGAAGTTTATATTTAAGAATTTTGTCTTTTAGAAGTTTATATTTAAGAAGATTGTCTTTTAGAAGTTTTTATTTAAGAAGTTTGTCTTTTAGGAGTTTGTATTTAAGAAGATAGTCTTTTATAAGTTTGTATTTAAGAAGATTGTCTTTTAGAAGTTTGTCTTTTAGGAGTTTACATTTAAAAAGTTTGTTTTTTAGGAGTTTATATTTAAGAAGTTTGTCTTTAGAAGTCTGTATTTAAGAAGTTTGTCAATTAGAAGTCTGTATTTAAGAAGTTTGTCTTTTAGAAGTCTGTATTTAAGAAGTCTATTTTTTAAAAGGTTGTATAATTAGGTTGCTTAGTGCTTATTCTCAATACGCTCCCGTATATTGGAGCGCATCGTAGGCAATTTCAATATAACCTTGGTTTTTAGAACTTTGTCATAGAGACATAGAATGAAACATCTTTAAAGAGTTTATTTTTTATGAACTCTTTGAATAGGAATGATATTGAACTGGTTCAACCTTATCTAAAGAACTTTATTCATCCTTCTCATCCTTGTATTGGATCAGTCATTGGGGACTGGACAGAACAGGGATAATTTTATTTATAAAAACAATAGTTAATTCTTTAAAAACAACATTATACATGTATTTTTTAGAAGTATTAAAAGAATGACAGGAAAATAATCTTTTCTTAAGTTGTTATATGCCTAACAGTCTGTTTAAAGGGACTGTAAAGGAAAAATGAAAGTATTTTAGGAGTTGATTGAGGCCCAAAAGAGTTCTATCTGATGTTCCTGTCTCGAGAAATTTATATAAAACTGTGTCAAATTTATACGAATTTTTTTCAGATTGGTTTCGTATTTGCTGAATACGATTTTTATACAAAATTTTATATGTATACATTTTAATATAAATTTGACACAGTTTTTTTTATCAATTTCTCGAGACAGGAACCTCAGATAGAGCTCTTAAAGATCTCGATCAACTCCTAAAATGCTTAGGTTTCACCCTATACCCCTTTTCATTTTTCCTTTCCCAATAATTCGAGTAAACAGTTTATAAATTCTAGAAATTGTTAATGTTTTATTAATTATTTGCTAAACCAACAAAAAGATAAATACTAATTTTTAGGAAAAAATTACAATGGAAGAAGTTATAGATGTCAAGGTATCAAAATACGGTTAAACTCAAGTGTATGAAGACATCGGAAGAATTTATATAAGGTCGTCTTGAATTTGAATTTGAAGCTGTCTTGTGTTTTCCTAAGCTGTCAAAGTCAAATAGTTTGGCGCTAATTTAAGTAAAAAATCTTTCATCTATATATATAAAGTTGTAATCTCTGTTTGTCTGTCTGTTTGTTTGTCAGATCATAACTCAGGAACCCAAGAACCGATTTGCCTCAAGTTTTGTTTTGGGAACTTGGGAGACCTACGGGAATGTTCTTAGCGTAGTTATATGATTCTGAATTGAGTGGGTCGACTTTTATAGAGAAAATTTAGTATGCCGGTAAAATCGTTCAAGTGCGGGTAAACGGCGGGAGTAACTTTTAGTAACCTGGGCAGCGCGTGTTTGTATAAAATGCCTTCTTTTTGAGCGAAAATTTTATGTTTTTTTAAAAAGAAAATGGTATTGAAGGTTTTAAAAGCTAGTTTTTGTACATTTTCTTTACACTTTTCAGATTATTAAATGCCTTTTTTTCGAAATCAGAAAATGAAAGTACTTTCAAACTAGAGGTTTTTGCAGTAGTGAGATTTTATTTTTTTTTGATTTTTAATTTTCAAATCTCACTACCGCCAATACCACAGTTTAAAAATAAAAGTTTAAATTTTATATTTTCACTTTGGATTTTGAAATCTCACTTTTTATTTTTTTCATGAATCTCACTACCTTAGAACTTGACACTTTATACTTTTATTTTATAAAACTGGGGCATTTTATACCTACAGGGGCAGCGCTGGGTTCCCAAGCTAGTTTTATATAATTCTCAGCGATAAATCCCGGACTAAATCTTCCAGACCACATTTTTAACATTCTTCCGATTTCTTCTTATATTTGAGTTTAACTGTATTTAAAAAATGTTTACCAGTTAAACTAAGAAATTAAAAAACAGCGTAAAAAAAGAAAAAAAATTAAATTAAAAAAATTAACGATTTGATCAAAGTTATTTTCAAAAATTATGCTGATAATACAAACTTGATTCTACTTTATCAAAGGAACTGAGTATTTGCCACATACTCTAATTTTATAATCTAATATCTTTGCAACCTGATGAAAAATTTTGATTTTTAATTTTTAAATTCTTTAATCTAACAGAATTCATTGTTTAAAAATCAAAGGTTTTCAACATTTGGATTGGCAAAAACTGAGTTCCTTTTCTGTTAGAAAATATAGAATGTGCCAGACTAACTAAAAACTATTAAACAACAAAAGATAAATTCCATCCTACCATCACATTAAACTAAGCTAATTTCATTCTACTATCACATTAAACTAAGCTAATTCCATCCTTCCATCACACTAAACTAAGCTAATTCCATCCTACCATCACACTAAACTAAGCTAATTTCATCCTACCATCACATTAAACTAAGCTAATTCCATCCTACCATCACACTAAACTAAGCTAATTCCATCCTACCATCACATTAAACTAAGCTAATTCCATCCTACCATCACACTAAACTAAGCTAATTCCATCCTACCATCACACTAAACTAAACTAATTTCATCCTACCAACACATCTAAGCTTGTAGGGAAAGTCAAGGTCCATAATTAGGCCGGGTTCTGTAAAATGTCTAGCCGCGCCGTCAAAGTTGAAACTAAACAAATATAGAATATGGTCGAGCCAGTACATGCCGCTTGTCACTAGGGCCTGTGCCCTGTACACTGTACATCTCAGTACAATGGGTCAGTCCGCTTCGAATTCAAATTGACAATATAGTCTACCGTGATATTAATTAGATGTTGTTAAACGAAGAGGAAACTGTTGCCATGAAGAATGGAAAAGGAGTTGAATTCTGTCATTTGATTATCAGTAATCTCAACATATCTCTGGTAGTGTTATAAATACAGTGAGAAGCAGAAAACAACTTTCAGAATCAAATTATAACTTTACAAAGTACAATGAGCATAAATTACAGCAAATGTGCAGTGTAAATTCGTCTTCTTATTCCATTGTTTTCTGGTTATCACTGTATCATTATTATGTTCTTTAAGATGACCTAAAAGTTTGTATCTGAGATAAAATAGCTTTTTAGACTTTTTCTGAAAGAAAGCAATGTTGAATAGAATGCTAGAAAGTTATTTCGAAATTGAACAATGGGTCGCATACAACTGTAGGATAAGAAGACGACATTTTACTATTGTGCATTGCAGTCCTCTGTCTGTTCCACAGTTGTATGGGCACCACTGTATTTCTTGTCTGAAAATCAAGTAACTACATCCGACAAAGTTAGAATTAGAAATAAAACACTTTTTTATATAAATCTATCGTGGGTTTCTATTCAAAATTAGATATTAGATTTACATTTATTTACATTTTAATAAATAATTTTTTGATTTGAAAATAATTTTCTAGAATGATTTAGAGAATAAACTTTGTATATCGAGAAGGTAACATTTTCAAGCAAATAAACAATATCAAAACTTTTGTTTTGTTTTCCAGAAAATCCGAGTGCATTTTCCTCCAGATTACATATGATCAGAAAACCGCAGGTTTAGAATTAAAACAAAATAAATAAAGTTGAAAATTAAAATTTTTAGCTTTTTCTCATTAGGTAAGTTTAAGTCTAATTAAAAGGATTTGAATAAACTTTTGCTTATGTCATAAAATTGATTTCTAAGGAAAAGCAAAACATATATTTAAAAGCACACTGTCGTAAATCATTGATGGCAGTGCTAAAACTTCAGGGACAACCCATGGCAAGCTTAAAAGTTTTAGATTTATACAGTGATAACCAGAAAACTGTGGTATAGGGAGAATTCTAGCGTTACTTAAACGTATCTTATGTTTTACTGTAGCGGGAAAATGATGGGTTGATCTTTTCCTGCGATCAGGGGGGATAATGCCCCACCCCCCTCCACCCCTTGTATAAACTTTTGAATCATAACGGTTTTAGTTGTGTTTATATGATAATTTTGACAAGACAAACAAATCTATAAATAACCCAAGCGACGCCGTTGTTCCGTTATTCCAGAGGGCGGGGGCAGGAGGAGGCGGCCGGCCAGCCAGCGGAGCTAGGGTTAATATCTAGGCTAGGGTGGAGTGAAGCTTGGGGAAAAGAAAGGAGTTAGTTCGATACGAACCCTTTTGATGAGAAGACGGGGAATTTCCTGAGCATTCTTCCACCGTCAACAATTATTAACTTTTCATCGATCGTATAGTATTTTTCATTTTCTCATGTGTTTGTATAAAGTGTAATAAATTTGTAAAACCGTCTCGTTCAATATTTGATAATATGAGTTGTTTCCCTGAATTTTTAGCATAAACTAGATTACAAGCAAGCAGTTTTACCTGTAACTCCAAAAATCTGTTTTTAAGGTAAATGGGCCTGTATTTCTGTTTCTCATGTTTAAAGGATTAATTAAAGTCATTACATGATTATAAAAGTCGTCTTTCTATTCCAGAGTTTTTTAGTTCTCATTGTACATTTCATTTTTTATTTGAAATTCATAGAATTCCATGTTTGGATGTTAATAAAAACTAAAATGATATTTTAATAAACTTTATTTCAATATTTCCATAGATTTAGAAAAGTCCAGCCTTGAGGTTTTAAAGAAGGGTGATTTAAGCATTCTCAATCTTTTCTTTCCTGGATGTGGTAAAATATACAGGTTGGGCACTTTATACAATTAAACATATTTCTGAAAGATGATATAAAATATCTTATATAAAATAACAGAACTTATAAATAGAAAATAGAGACACAAAAGTTTTCAAACTGAATTGTTTTATGACATGATTAAAAACACGAAATGCAGGAAACATTATATTTACACTAAACATGTTAATAATCAAATTATACAAGGATATAAGGGTTGATCAAATTCTCCGCCGTTCAGGGCATATATATTCTCCCAAGACCATTCGGTTTGATCATCCGGGTTCAAACATGGCAAGTCTAAAGGAACTGTCTAGTCTGTACTAGATGCCACGCCATATCTAAGCGTGGCTTGGTCCAATTTAAAGATTTTACTAACTTGGGTTTACTCCGGGCATTATATTAACTCTCTTATGTACAACATAACATGAACAATGTACAATGTGGCCATGCTCACATCACATATTGTATTAATTAAAGAAATTAAGCCTAATTTCAAGTGACCCTCCATGCAAAGTTTGTTTAAGATCAAATTGAAAGTATTTTCACACCGAACAGCAAAAACTTTTTCGCACGCATGATACCCATTTCAATAACATATAGTTTTATTAAGTTTTACTCAAATTGCTTAAAAGCAAGCCGATAAAGTTACTTAATCACCCTGTTGTAGGGTGATTAAGTAACTTTATCACCCTACAATGAGACAAATTAGGTATGAAATTTGAAATTTTAATAGGAGGGTGAAAAAACTACTTTTTCGCCCAGTTGTAGGGCGATAAAGTCACTGAATAACCCTACAACGGGAAATATTAGGCGTGATAAATTCCATCAAAATTGAATAAATTCTTTTTTACAGAGCAGTGAGTATTTTTAATGAAAAGTTTAACAGAACCACCAGGTAAAATATGGAGAGAAAAATGTTTAAATTTATTTTTTGTTATTTATAAGATATTAAGTCAGTTATAAGTCGTAATCATAATAGATTATTAGGTAAAATTATATACATTTTTCTTGTTTAATTTTATTGTAGAATATCTTTAACATTTTCCTGAAAACAGTTTCTAATTTCAAATCATTATTATCATAATTATCAAAAGTAATTATCAATTTCTGGAAATATTAAAATGCTATAAAGTATTCTCAGAACAATTGGATTTGAACTTAAGATAAACCTTTTAAAAATGTAAATTATATATAATAATATAATTAAAACTATTTTAGAAATACTCAAATTATAATTCCACATCTCTGCTCACTAAAAGGGGTTTCAAGAGACCGCTATGATTCTCTTAAGGTCATAAAAAAAGAGCTAAAATGTATATTAACGTATAAAATGTAAAGACTTCATTCCTTTTTAACTGTTAAAACCTCTGAAAATCATCCCTTACTTAAAGAGTCATTTCTCATAACAGTTACAAACTCAAATTTTCTAATTTCTATATCTTTGCGCATACACCTTTAATATTTCAAACTAAGATTATTTAATCTAACAGAATACATAGTTTGAAATATATAAGGTCTGCTCCTTACAGCTCTTGGGTTGCAAATCAGAGTTTGTGGCAAAGAATCAATTCCTTTTCAAACTTTAAATTTTCCATGAAAATGACAAAATTCTGGCTATAACTAACTGTACAGAAAACTAATGTAACATAATAAATGCTAGACTTACTGCGTCGTGTCCATCTTTAGTTCAAATTTGAATTGCATATTTAATAATAAATTTTCGTGGATTTTCAAATTTTACGAATATCAAAATGATTTTGGAGACAGATTTTTGTAGTTTTGAGCATACATAAACTGTTTCCTGCGGTCATGTAATCTGCCTCAACAATTTTGGACCTAATCGGTTCAGCCGTTTTGACGTTTATTGGATTCAAAGAACAAATAAGCAAATTATATATTATAGATTTTAAATATAAAGGGTAATGATCTTGTTGGAGTAAAGGTGAACGTAGAGCACTTTAAACTGTTCCCGTGGTACAGGTGACAATTCAGGACATTTTTTAGATTAAAATAATGACACATCATCGATAAAAAAAGTGAGAACCAGAAAAATCAGGAACAAGAATTAGACTTGTAGACTCAAGAGTCAGGATATGACTTTAAATAGTCCAATGAACATGCAATTATGCAAAGTAAACAGACCAATTCCTATTCCATACAGTGATGACCAGAAAACTGACGATACTAAGGTAATACTGTAGTGGAAGTGCACTTGATGTAGTTCACAGGCAGCCGTAGTACATTTGAATTTCCGAGCCGGGTCAACTTTTCCGTTCCCAGTTTGTACTGTACCTAGATCTATGGACAGAACTAGCCGGTGCAACAAGGTTGACGCGGTCAGACTTTATACTTCATATAGGTTGAATTTACTTTTACTAAAGGGGCAGAGGTGCGTGAGTTACAAAGCAAATAGCTTTTATTAGTAAGTTATAAAATCATTTTCTCAGGGAAAGGGGTCTGTTTGCACAACTACACTACACGTTTGTGTTGTCTCATGTTCATCAGACTTTTCAAGTCATAACTTGAGTTTTGAAGTCGTCTTCATCTTCCATAGTTTTCTGGTTCTTACTGTATATATATTTGTTAAAAGGGGTTCATATAATGCAACAAACAAATATGGTGAGATGGTCCCGACAGGAACAGAATACTCAGCATTCTATCTTTTTACCGAACATTTTGGTCTGGGCTATACCATGAGGATAGAAAATGACTGCAGTGCCTTTAATGATACATACTATACAGGATCTTGTAAAAACCTCGTAGGTAATTAATGATACATAATATACAGGATCTTTTAAAAACCTTGTAGGTAATTAATGATACATAGTATACAGAATCTAGTAAAAACCTTGTAGGTAATTAATGATACATACTATACAGGATCTTGTAAAACCTAGTAGGTAATTAATAATACATACTATACAGGATTTTGTAAAAACCTTGTAGGTAATTAATGATACATAATATACAGGATCTTGTAAAAACCTTGTAGTTAATTAATGATACATACTATACAGGATCTTGTCAAACCTAGTAGGTAATTAATAATACATACTATACAGGATTTTGTAAAAACCTCGTAGGTAATTAATGATACATACTATACAGGATCTTGTCAAACCTAGTAGGTAATTAATAATACATACTATACAGGATATTGTAAAAACCTCGTAGCTGTAATTAATGATACATACTATACAGGATCTTGCAAAAACCTTGTAGGTAGTTAATGATACACACTATACAGGATATTGTAAAAACCTTGTAGGTAATTAATGATACATACTTTACAGGATCTTGTAAAAACTTTGTAGGTAATTAATGATACATACTATACAGGATCTTGTAAAAACCTTGTAGGTAATTAATGATACATAATATACAGGATCTTGTAAAAACCTTGTAGGTAGTTAATGATACATACTATACAGGATCTTGTAAAAACCTTGTAGGTAATTAATAATACATACTATACAGGATCTTGTAAAACCTCGTAGGTAATTAATGATACATACTATACAGGATCTTGTAAAACCTCGTAGGTAATTAATAATACATACTGTACAGGATCTTGTAAAAACCTCTTAGGTAATTAATGATACATACTATACAGGATCTTGTAAAAACCTCGTAGGTAATTAATGATACATACTATACAGGATCTTGTAAAAACCTCGTAGTTATTTAATAATACATACTATACAGGATCTTGTAAAAACCTCGTAGGTAATTAATAATACATACTGTACAGGATCTTGTAAAAACCTTGTAGTTAATTAATAATACATACTATACAGGATCTTGTAAAAACCTTGTAGGTAATTAATGATACATAATATACAGGATCTTGTAAAAACCTTGTAGGTAGTTAATGATACATACTATACAGGATCTTTTAAAAACCTTGTAGGTTATTAATAATACATACTATACAGGATCTTGTAAAACCTCGTAGGTAATTAATGATACATACTATACAGGATCTTGTGAAAACCTAGTAGGTAATTAATAATACATACTATACAGGATTTTGTAAAAACCTTGTAGTTAATTAATAATACAAACTATACAGGATCTTGAAAAACCTAGTAGGTAATTAATAATACATACTGTACAGGATCTTGTAAAAACCTCGTAGGTAATTCATGATATTACTAATTTTTAGATAAGAAGATTTTTATATACATTCACTGTGCTGACTCCTGGATGTTTTATGGACCATTAAAATCAAATTATTTTGATAAAGTCAACTTTTTCCCAATATCCTATTCTGGTTCAACTATATGTAAGTTTAAAGGGACTGTAAGCGACCCTTCAAGCAAAGAGGGGGATGTTCAATTTTCAAGGGTACCCTGTAGACTTGTGAGTGAGGAGTGTTCGCGAAAATTGAAAGGGGGTATAGGCTTACTCCGATTAGTTGGCCGCCAGGTGTCTCTGCTCTCGATGCTCTGAATGATTCCACCTGGAAGTGCATTGTATAAAAAAAAACAAATAAAATAAAATTATGAACTATTAACTATATTATATCAATGCGTCGAAAAATTATTGATGATTATGGATTGTAATATCTGAATGACTTGTTTTGAATTAAATTATGTTCCAAATTTCTGAATTTGTTTGGACGCTACGTTTATTGGTATGAGACGTTTTTAACAATTTTCTCCTAATAGACGCAACAGATAGAAGTAAGATTAGTAGCGATCACCATCGATAATTTTTCGCGAACACTCCTTTTAAGGGACAGCATGGAGGGTCACTTGAAATTAGGCTTACAGTCTCTTTCTTTTTCAAATCTTGTGTTAATGAATGGAAAAACTTCAAAAACTTTCATTTAAAAAAAGAATTTTGTCCATCTCTACTTTCAAATGAATTTAAATTAGAGCCATTTTTTCATTTTTTCTTTTGTATAGTATGTCCCCTTCCCTTGAAGAAAACCAGTTTTTCCCAAATAATTCAACCATTCACTTTGGAGGTAAAAAAAAATTATCCTAAAAATTTATGTAATAACTTTTAAAAAATCATGCACAATTGTCAGTTCTGCAACAAATTAAAAATAAGAGAATTTAAATAAAATTTAATGAGTTTCTTACATATACACCAAATTGAGAATGAAATTAAGATGTTTATATAAAGGATCATAGACCCCACGATACTAAATTTTTTCTCAAGAAAAATATCAATTAATAATTTTGGAACAAACTGGTAATCTATTTGCTTGATATGGTTTGTTTATTGTTCGTGAATGACCAATTTCGTTCTTTCAAATGAACAAAAGTAATAATTTGTTTGTTGTCAAAATTGTAGTTTTTTTCTATCTATATCGTGTTTTTTTTCCTGAACAATTGTTCAATAAAATATTTTGTTCAGAAAAATCATTTGTTCAGTATAATCGTTCGTCTAGTAAAATCCTTTCTCCAATAAAATTTTTTTTTCAGCAAAAAAAATCTTTTTTTCGTAAACCTTTGTTCGTTTATTAAAAACCGATCGTTTTTTCAAGATTGTTCGAAAGATTTGAAATCGTTTCGTTCGTTAAAAAAATATCGTTTTTTCATTTCTCTGAATGATCCAAGTCTTTAGTCCATTATTAGTTTTTTTCTGAACCACACCATCGTTCTCAAAAATTTCGTTTGTTCACAAAAATGATACCCACCTCTAGTGTTGACTGTGAATCTATTTGCTAGGTGTGGATAATGGTTTCATCCATCACTGTTGTGTCAGTTGTCATAATGTATTCGTTAGTGGCTTTGGATAGTTACCTTTTTGATTACAGTAAGTCAAAAATCTGATTAAAAGAATATAAATGGGATTGTGAGCGTAATATTAGAGACCCTTCGTGTAAAGATGGCAATTTCCGATGCACAATAGTACCCTTGAAACCTTTCAATAATATGGAAGATATTGTCGTTTTTCTAGATTTAACACTGGGGATTTAGGATAATTCCTGCAGGAGAAATGCGTAAGTCACTTTTGTAGAGATGCCATAATTGAAAATAGTTAGTTTTCAAGATTATCAACATTTGTATGATCAGACATTGGGTACAATTGTTAAACAGCCATTGCCATCTTTGCATGCAGGGTCACTTGAAATCTTGCTAACTGTCCGTTTAAATAATAATCAATTAATCAATTCCTGGAGGCCATTTTTAGGAGCATATACTTTTTTTTACAAAGTTAATATAATCTAGTTTTTGATAATTTTTATAAAATAAAATGGTACTTGGCATAATTAATAATTTCAAATGTTCATTTTTTTCTCGTTTTCTCCGTCTGCATGTCCGCAGTTTCTCATTTTCTTGCCTCCCTTTTCCCGTCCATTTATGGCGCTGTTTTTGAAAGAATGTTTACGAGTCACTGTCTTTGCGCTATTATAAGACAATGCACGATCACCCTTTCATTGTGTAATGTCCCCCTCTTCGTTTTTTGTTTTGTTTTGCAGCCTCAGCTCTGCACATTCTGTCCACTTGCATTTGCTAGGTCACCACTCCTAGAACTTCAAGTTAGTTTATTTTCGTCCATTGAGGGAGCAATAGCTTCCCTGCTATGAACCGCACATTTGTACTTTCCTACAAAGAGGGTTGCTATTCAATGATGGATAATCAAGGGACCACCTCAGAGGTAATTTTGTTGTAGAATCCAACAGAGAAATGTCCTTGAGTCACATTTCGCTGTTTGTGAGAAGGTTAGATGGTAGGTAGAGGAGAGAGGAGATGAGGTTTGTAAGAGTAGCGTGTTAGGAATGTTTCGTTAAAATCACTCCATTTGTCTCCAAGTGTTATACTGTTTCCCAGCCCAGCGGAATTCTTTAGGAAGTATCCCACCGCTGAATGCTGAGTTGCACCCTTTTATCAGCTCTGCTCAGGGAGCAGGGACAAGGCCCTTCCAGAAAGGGCTCCTATGGCAAAGAAAAGTGCATATAAAACGGGATTAATATTAGACATATTAAATCTTTGTTATTTTAATTTTTTTACTTCGTACCCCCGCTGTGGGTACTATAGTTAAAAAAAAGAGGCTCACTAATTGATGATGGAGTTTAGGACCGCTTGACCTTCCCTCCCTCCTATATGCAGGCACCTTTCTCAGCGTCCACTGCAAATAGTACAGAGAGCTTTCTGAACAGAGCTCTGTTATCTAAGGCTGTAGGAATGCAACTGATGGAGCATATATTGTATTAGATAATAACTCAAAGGCATTTTCTCAATGGCAACTTTCCAAGTGGCAGCTTCCCAAAGGTTCTGAGGCACCATAGGGGCCAAGGGCTGCGGCTAGCATAGTCATGGAGACTGAGCTCTAGGGTAAGAACAGACTTGAGAAGTGGCCGCTTGAGAAATTGCACATTTGGGAAGTTGTCACACAGGAAAATACTTTTGGGAAGTTGCCGCTTGGGAAAGCTTTCAGAAATCATCAAATAAATATTATTGTAGAACCTGATATCACTATGATAGATATTGGTATCTATTCCTTCGGAGCCTACTTTCAGGAACCATTTCATGCTAATATTAGAAATGGTAAGTAAGTAACGTTACATTAGAAATGGTAAGTAAGTATCGTTATATTAGAAATGGTAAGTAAGTAACGTTTTATTAGAAATGGTAAGTAAATAACGTTATATTAGAAATGGTAAGTAAGTAACGTTACATCAGAAATGGTAAGAAAGTAACGTGGTATTAGAAATGGTAAGTAAGTAACGTTAAATTAGAAATGGTAAGTAAGTAACGTCTTGTTAGATATGGTAAGTAAGTAACGTTATATTAGAAATGGTAAGAAAGTAACGTGGTATTAGAAATGGTAAGTAAGTAACGTTAAATTAGAAATGGTAGGTATAAGTATCGTTATATTCGAAATGGTAAGTAAGTAACGTTTTACTAGAAATGGCAAGTAAATAAGAAATAGTAAGTAACGTTACATTATAATTGGTAAGTAAGTAACGTTATATTAGAAATGGTAAGTAAGTAACGTCTTGTTAGATATGGTAAGTAAGTAACATTATATTAGAAATGGTAAGAAAGTAACGTGGCATTAGAAATGGTAAGTAAGTAACGTTAAATTAGAAATGGTAGGTATGTGGCGGCTATGAAAGTCGTCTTTCCTTGAAGAACTTCTCGCGGCAAGGAGAAGAATAGGGGAGTTTCTAGAAGCCACGAGATATATATATTTTTCTAACTTTGTAACTTTATATTTAAAATATAGTTAGTCGTTATCTAAATCCTCGTCTTATTGCTATCCGCCAAATTGGTGACCCCGGACTAGTGAATACGTTTCTTTATAAGTCCAAAGTTAAACAACCCACCGCGTTGTATTTTTCCACCTAAAACTCAGTGTTTTGAGTAAGTGTCCTGTTTTGCTCGCTAGTATTATTTTCGGCTGAAAAGTGAACCAGCCTCCCTGTTTTCTCCACAGGCTATCACAGTAAGCGAAAACCTAGCTCGACAGTGCTTTCTTTTTCAGCGTCACGATGCCTGGAGATCCAGCTTTGAGCACAGGCGCCTCAAGCCAGTTGGATTCCTCTCCCAGCCAGCTCTATGCAGTTGCTCTGAAACTGCCTGTTTTCTGGCCTGACAGCTGCGAATCCTGGTTCATCAACGCTGAGTCCCAGTTCCACCTCAAGAATATCACCAACAGTATCACCAAGTTCCATCATGTAGTTGCATCTCTACCACAGAACGAGATAGACAATGTTGTAGATATCATAAGGAGCCCGCCTACTGCTGATCCTTATGGTGTTTTGCGGTCTCGTCTTTTACAGACACATTCTCTGACGGATTATGCACGTTGTGAATCAATCATGTCACTTCCTCTGTCTGGAGATATGCTCCCTTCAGCTCTCTTATCCAGGATGAGGGCTCTCCTTCCTTCAGAACATCAGGAGTGTTTGTTCCCGCGGTACGCGTTTTTGAGGCAACTTCCAGCTGATGTCAGGTCTCATTTAGTTCATGATAAAACCGCCGATATTGCAGTTCTCTCTCAACGTGCAGACGAGATTTACCGGAGTAGTTTGTCTTCTAATTCGTCGGTAAACGCTTTGGATTCAGTGAATGCTGTCAGTACTCCTCCTTCTAGACAGAACCGCCGTAATCAACGCTCTCGGAGAACTTCTAGTCCAGTTTCCCGCCGTTCTCAGACTCCTGCAGCTCCTTCTCGCCGTCCAGCTTCACCGTCCTTTTGCTGGTACCATGCCAAATTCGGATCCAAGGCCTTAAGTTGTCAAGCTCCCTGTGCCTGGTCGGGAAACTAGAGCGCCGGCAGGAGGATGTTTCTTCCCTGCCTGCCGGTTCAACGAGTTCTGCTCTCATCTATCTCCATGATAATCTCTCCAACCGCCGTTTTCTAGTCGACACGGGGGCTTCAATCTCAGTTTTTCCTTCTACAAGTGCATCTTCAACATCTGGTGTTCAGTTACTCACAGCTGATGGATCAACTTTAACATGTTCTGGTTCCAGGATTATGCCATTACGGTTTGGAACATGGAATTGTTCCTGGACTTTCCAGCTAGCTCCTGTTTCTGTTCCAATCCTTGGAGCAGATTTTCTGCAACATCATGATCTGAGNCACTCACTGATGCTCTGAAGGGACCTGGAAAAACTATTTCTTGGTCTCCACTCATGAACTCTGCTTTCAACAGAGCCAAACTACTCCTCTCAGCTGTTCCAGAACTAGTTCACCCTCAACCCAACGCAGCAATTTCTCTGTCTGTGGATGCTTCAGATACTCACATTGGAGCTGTTCTCCAACAACAACTTCGCGACGAATCCTGGGCTCCGCTGGCTTTCTTCTCTAAGAAACTTTCCGATGCTGAGAAGAAATACTCCGCCTTCGACAGAGAGCTCCTGGCAGCCTTTTCATCTGTTCGACACTTCAGATTCATGCTAGAAGGTAGAGAGTTCACAATATTTACTGACCACAAACCTTTAACTCATGCTTTGTTCAGGACGAGTCCTCCTTGGTCAGCTCGCCAGCAGAGGCATCTTGCATACCTGGCAGAGTTCACAAATTCCATCGTGCACATTCCTGGCAAAGAGAACGTTGTAGCTGACGCCCTCTCCCGCCCAGTTGCCCCTGCCTCTTCTCCAAGTTTTACCCCTTTTTCATCTCCAAATTCTCCAGGTCCAATTAAACCTTGCTCTGTCCAGAAACCTAACTCCAAACCATTCCAATCCATCTCCAGTCTATTTATTATACAGAATCATAATTCTACATTTTTCCATTCAAAAACTTTTTAAATTGGTAAAGAAATGTTTAAGTATAAGAACTTAAAATGAGTCTGTAAAGAAGAAAACTATAATCATTTTTCGCAAACTTTAAATCCTAAGTTTAAAAAACATAAGGGCTCTTAAGAAATGATTATTGATCAATGATAATAATTTGCAATACACTGATTCCCATCATATTAAAAGGTTTTACCTTTCTTCTTTTTTCAAACAATACTAAAGAAAACATACCCTGAAGTCAACATGGTCTCAATACTAAATGGTTAAAATGAAAACCCAAATCTCACGATGTCGAATTTTAGATTGAAATTTTCTAATAAGAACTTGCGGCTTAAATATCATTGTCACATGCAGTCTGTCATGGGATAATAAAAATTTAAAACCCCTTTTTTACACAAAAAATGTACTTCACGCCCAAGGCTATAATGACCGTAGAAAAAGTGAAAGTTAAAAAAGTGCACCAAACTCATAATTGGATGACGACAATTCATGTCCCAAGTATTTTTAATTTGGAAAGTTTACCAATATGGCCCAACTTTATTCTGTCTGCTCCACTTTATAGTATGTATTTACTTTGATAAAAAGTGCCTATATAGTCATCATAACGTACCACAGTTTCATAATTATACCAGCTGTCTTAAATTTACTTTCTTGTAAAAAGGGGCATGTTCTATTCACAACAGCACCCAATAAACCGTAATCTAATTAGTAATGTGGACGATTTGGTACTGCTACAGACTATAATTTACGGCAAAATGGGACAGTACACTAAATTAACTAAATTAGTTTTGATTTAGCAGCGATTTCCCAGACTAACTAGGCGAGGAAGTCACGGCTAAATCCTAGCTAGAACATGTCTAACGAATCGGACATAAAAGTCTCAAGTGTGTGTAGTCTCTAGTCCAACATTCTAACCCAAAGTCCCCGAAGCAGCAATGAAAACTGCAGTATAGAAATAATAGTGTATTTTTGTGTTTATTCTTCTTGATAAACAAATTTATCATTCATGTAATAAACGACAAATCCTCTTAAAACTTTAGAAAACTTAAAATGCAATTTTTACAGTATATTATCGTCAATGTATACTTACGGGAAATGACGTTGACGTAAACTCAGCATGAAAATCAGCGGATTAATGAACATACGAAAAATCGTCTTTTGATTTATGAACAAGGGTTCGAAAGTAAATGTTCACTGACATTAATCCTGGATATCTGATTCAACCAATTATCTTGAGTTGAGACGTGTTAAATTGTAAAGGGACTGTAAGCGCAATTTCAATTAAACCTCTGTTCATGAGATGGCAATGTCCGATTCACTACGGTACCCTTAAAGCTTTGTCTGATCAAGTAAGATATCAATCTTCAGCATTTAAATACTGAATATTTCAATAACTAAAGTTGTTTGCGCATTCTTTACAGAAGATCTTGCATTTTAATTGTTCTACTCGACGACTGAATAGTGGTCGAATTTGAAGTGTCGCAAAGCGTTGGGATTCGATTTTACCGCTCTAACTCACTTAAGGTTTTTTTAAAACTACAAGGCAAGCTTTTGTAGCTATAGTTTTCAGAAGTAATTGACAAAAATTCTCATCGATTATAGTGTGAGAGCTCCCTTTAAATCACAATGAGACTTAAAGGCCTTTATTTTTTTTAGTTGAATTCTTTGATTTTAATTAATTAACAGATTGCAGACTACGTTGAGCACTGACGGGGAGGAATAATTTATAATTTATTAATTGCCCCTGGAATTTGATTTTTTTAAATCTCTATTTTGAGTGATTAGGTGGCGCCGCGCCGCGCCCCACAGTGACACTTTTTTTCAGGGTGGGAACCTGTTTAAAATATCTAAGGTTTTTACGACACAGCGTTGCAAAAAATTGGAATATAAATTAAACATTATAATATTATATATATATATATATATATATCATACGTCCCCTTACATAATGATACTCTTCGTCATAGTTTATCACAAGTTAGTCCGTTTGATTAAAGAACCATTGTTTCAAAGCTAAGTTTTAACGTTTAAACTTTCTTAATCTTAACTTTGCTTATTTGGAATGTTTCTAAAAATGAACAGATTGAATTAAAGAAAACGTTAAGAATATTAAACTTAAAGAAACTGTCCTTGTTGTAATTTTAAGCTACCTCCCTTCTAAAAAAGGGACCTCCCTCAATCAAAATTGCAACACTTAAAAAAGTAAACAATCATTTGGCCGGAACATATCGTCGTTAACATAGCGAAAATTATATTAATAATAAAAATTTAAACCCGTGAAAATGCGCAAAATATTTTCTTTACAGTAATAGAAAATACTTTGTTGATTAACCTATTAAACTGTTGTATATATATATATGCAAGTAAATGCAACCCGAAAAATTGTATGTATTCCAAACCGTTACTTATGCCAATTCCCAACTCAATTCTTGCAGATCTGTATACTAAATATCTCCCCNACCAGATACAGGGACCAACACTATGATGGTAAGACCAGGCAGTTAGGACTTGGTTCTCGGGATGGACAGATCCTCTAACAAATTATTACTCTCAATAGTTAAACATCTTGTTCTAACGTATCCTTCAATTCCAATCTAATCCCAGTGATTCTTCAATCCAACCGATCCTTTCCTATCAATCCTACATCTCTAATCCTTTCCTACTTATCCTAACTCTTCTCATCCTTTCCTATCAATCCTACATTTCTAATCCTTTCCTACTTATCCTAACTCGTCTCAACCTTTCCTATCAATCATATAGCTCTAATTCTTTCCTCTCATACTAACTCTTCTCATCCTTTCCTTTCAATAATATATCTAATCCTTTCCTATTACTCCTAACTCTGCTGATCCTGTCCTATTAACCCTACCTCTCCGATTTTTTCCTATTAATTCTACCTCTCTAATAATTTACTGTTAATTTTACCTCTTAATCTCTTTCCTATTATTCCAACCAATACTTTCCTATTAAACCAACCTCTCTGATATTTTCCTATTAATCCCACCTCTCCAGTCCTTTCCTATTATTCCTACCTCTCCAATCCTTTCCTATTAATCCTACCTAACCAACCCTTTCCTATTAACCTACCTCTCCAATCCTTTCCTATTAATCCTACCTAACCAACCCTTTCTTGTTAATCCAAACTCTCTAATCATTTCCAATTTATCATATCTCTCTAATTCTTTCCTATTAATCCTTTCGCTCTAATCCTTTCATATTTATCCGATCTCTCTAATCCTTTCCTTTAAATCCTTTCGCTCTAATCCTCTTCTATAAATCATATTACTCCAATCCTTTACCATAAATTCTACTCTACATTATACATATATCTCTAATCATTAAAACTTTAGCTCTATCCCCCCCCCACCCCCTTCCAACACTCTCCCTTCCTCTTAATAATGTTATTTGATGATTTTGGTGTAAGAGGCTGGGAGTATTTTGGTGTAAAAGGGTGGGGGTGGGGGGATTTTGATGTAAAAGGATGGGGAGGGTCAACAGTTTTGTACTTGACACAGGCCTTTATCACTTTAAATACTGGTAACACTACTGAGTACTGACTTCATAATTCAACAATAAAGACACCACGTGAAACAAATGTAAATTTCACGTAAGATTGAAATGTTTTCAACGAGTTATTTCTCTTAATAAAGAGCCAATGACTTGGTGATCTTTCAACATCTTTTAAGTTATTTTTGCAGATTTACTAAAATGCGCAAAGGAAAAGGTTCGAGTGTACCGAACTGTACAATATGTAAAATTTCTGGGAAACAGGTTGGAATACTTGTATAGTACAGAGACCAGATTTTATGAATAAACTTATAACCATTCATTAAATACGGTTCTAGGTTTTCTAAACTATGTTTCATTCATTTTTCTCGAATTCATTTATCAGTTAGTTTCTATTTTGATTCACATTTATGTTTAAACAGGAGTTTTGTCTCAAACTCTATTTCTAATTCGTATATTCTTTTTTTCGTTGACCTTCGATGTTTTAAACTATGAATTCTGTTAGATCAAACAATCTAAGTTTGAAATATCTAAGTTTTACACCGTCAGGTTGCAAAGATAAATGGATAAGAAAGTTTTAGTCTGTAACAAAAAACTCAATTTCATTATTAAAATCAGTTTTTAAAAGATTTTCATTTACATTGTTGTTTAAACTAAGGTTCGTGTATCATTACACTATGGAGCGCACTCTTGTCAGGCCTGTTCACTTTTCTTCAGAAGACAGGCTGCAAAACAGACAAAGGTATTATTTTTTCTTTTCATGTCATACAGCCCTCCATGTTAGCTATAGCTGGGCAAACGGCTGGACCAGTCAGGCTGAAATGTTCTGAGGAACCCATGGATACCCTTTTTATTCAAAAATCAAATTTTTTTCTTCCAAAACTAAAATTTTTTAAAATCATTTTTTTCCAAAACGTTCGAAATATTTTTTTGGACGAGAAACGCCAGGCACTTGATCTAGCATATCATAATATTGCTATTTTTAAGAGTTTTTGGTCGTCATTAAACTCTTATCCTTTGTGGGTGACCCTGTAGATAGAAATCTCTGAAACTGTAAACAAGAACAAAAATTAGTAATTTTATTAATAAACTGTCATCAACGATTTTCGATAGTAAATTCTAATTCTAAAATGATCAACACTATACGCTAAGCACCTTTCTTTATAGAATTATTGAGTCTTTGCCACAAACTCTAATACTCTATATTTTTTCATCCCAATGTAGTAGACCTTAGATAATTCAAACTATGAATATGGATTATGCCGTCCTTCCCCCCCCCTAAAAAAATACAACCAAATTCTTTACAATATTAATTTCATGAATAATCGACCATGAACATGTGCAAAATATAATGACTATGCAATCACCCCCCCCCCCCCCCCAAATCGGTATGAAAGAAGGGATTAGATATGTACCTTATTCAATTCAAGGATGGAAATTGAAATATGTAGAAAAAACAATAAAGGGGGGAGATCCTCGTTGGCTGGATCTAGGGTTTCTAATGCTCAATTCCGCAATAATAGCGCAAAACTTGTTATGTAGCTGGGTAACTTATCTGTACAAACATCTTGTTCATGCAACAACAAAAAATTGAATTGGTAGAACAAAAAACTAATCGTCAACGGTCAGTGTCTCTGTTCTTATTGCTTTGTAAAATTTTGTGCAGATCATTGCGCTAAAACTTACCGCAAAACCTATTTTTTCAAGTTAACTTTGAACTATATTTTGTATTAGTATTAAAGGCAATTTTTAACAAAATTTGATCAAATTTTCCTGAACTATTGAATGTTACTGCGCATGGAAACCTTAGCTGGATCAAGGTTATAATGCAAGGAAAGTTAATTGCAGTTGCGTATACTCTGCGTACATATTGAAACCAGTTCTCTCTGGGCGGAATTTGTAAACAAGAATATATGAATCAGTGTTCGTTTAGTATCCGAGGAGGTTAAAAACATTAAATTTTGATAATTTTGATAATTCACATTAATAGTTTCCTTTGACAAGAATATTTCATCGATTTTTTATGTGAAAGATGGATCCCATGTCAGGCTTTGACATCCGTCTTGCGTTTACTTTACATCCCAGAGACAGTACACTGCAGTACAAAAGATGCGTACACCTCTGAAATAACTTTCCTTGCATTATAACCTTGAGCTGGATCATCTTCGGTCCGAAAATATCGACTGTACAAACTGTACAAAATATTTTCCGAATTTCTAAATCACGCCAGAAATAATTTCAAAAAGTCGAATGATGTTGATTTCAGCTCAATAGGATAAAGCCGAGTTTTAACCGAGAAACCAAGAAACCAAGAAAATTGTAAGAAATTTTAGTTTAACAATTAAAAAATCGAATGTCACTAGATTCAGTTCTTTTAAAGAAACTCTGATTTTTACGGCTTAGAATACGAACATTTTTAAGTTTAAAGCGTACAAAGTTTTTTTTACCATTTTTAATTTCAACAGCCTCAGACCAATACTTTTTGAGTTATGTAAAAAAAACTACAGGGGGGTTAAATTGACCTTCCCCCCCCAGCAGGAATAGGGTTAAGAAAATTGTAAGAAATTTTAAGTTTAACAATTAAAAAATCGAATGTCGCTAGATTCAGTTCTTTTAAAGAAACTCTGATTTTTACGGTTTAGAATACGAACATTTTAATGCGTGCATAGTTTTTTTTTACCATTTTTAAATTTTTTAATGCTGCTGGAACGACTTTGTTACCTCGTAACTTCTTAGCCTTCAAGTAAATCCCAAAATGTTTGGTTGATAATTTCATATCTTAATTTAAAAGTTATTTACTCTGCAGAAAAAAAAGAGTTTCTAATTAAAGTTGGTTTTGCCATCACACTATAGTGTAAAAATGATGGAATCAAATATTTGAATGGCTGAGATTATTCAGAAGAATGGATGAAAGTATAATTTTGCGCATCTATCTAATCACAAGATCGTACGATTAACGTCTTCGATTTGAAATCTACAGATTTTCCCCTTAATCCTCCTCTTCCTAGGATGCTTCAATCCTGTTTCCTATGATGCTGCAATCCTGTATCCTAGGATGCTTAAACCCTAGATCCTAGGATGCTTAAACCCTAGATCCTAGGATGCTTAAACCCTAGTTCCTAGGATGCTTAAACCCTAGATCCTAGGATGCTTAAACCCTAGTTCCTAGGATGCTTTAACCCTGTTTCCAATACAAATGCTTCAATCCTTTATCCTAAGATGCTTAAACCCGGTATCCTAGGATGCTTAAATCCTGTTTCCTATGATGCTAAAATCCTATATCCTAGGAAGCTTAAACCCTGTATCCTAGAATGTTTAAGCTCAGTATCCTATGATGCTTAAACCCTCCTCTGTATCCTAGGATGCTTAACCCCTCCTCTATATCCTAGGATGCTTAAACCAAGCTCTGTATCCTAGGATGCTTAAACCCTGTTCTGTATCCTAGGATGCTTAAACCCTGCTCTGTATCCTAGGATGCTTGTGTATCAGTGTTTGGAAACTGTTTAGAGAGTGAGGATTCTATGAAGAAGAACTCCTGTAAAGCTTGCAGGTAAATACTGAATGTATGGAAATGTGTTTAAAGAGTTATCATTGAGAGTTTAATATTTCCGGGTTTTCATTAGAATTGATAAACTCAGAGATTGAAGGTTGGGTCCATGATATCAGGGTACACAGATCAATATAAGTTGGGTTCAGGATATCAGGATACATAGATCAGTATCAGTATCAGAAATAAACTACCCTCAACACTGGGCCTGTGTCCAAAGAGGGGGTGGGTGGGTTGGTGGATGTCAACATTGGGATTCGGCTTACTCAGGTTCCCGAAAATCCCTACACCCGGTGCGCTTACATCCAGGGTTTAAATTAGACATCCCCTAAGCGATTAACAAACAGACGACCCCAGGCGTGATTGTACACGTATCGTGATGGGAAGTACTGATGGGTGTGACTTCCTTGGGGACCAGAACATCCCCAGAAGTGTTTTTTTATAATAAAAAGGTTGGTTTCAGGATATTAGGATACATAGATCAGTATAGGCTGGGTCCATGATATCAGGGTACACAGATCAATATAGGTTGGTTTCAGGATATTAGGAATTTAGGATACATAGATCAGTATAGGCTGGGTCCATGATATCAGGGTACACAGATCAATATAGGTTGGGTTCAGGATATCAGGATACACAGATCAGTATAGGTTGGGTCCATGATTTCAGGGTACACAAATCACTATAGGTTGGGTTCAGGATATCAGGGTACACAGATCACTATAGGTTGGGTTCAGGATATTAGGATACATAGATCATGCAGTATAGGTTGGGTTCAGGATATCAGGATACATAGATCAGTATAGGTTGGGTTCAGGATATCAGGATACACAGATCAGTATAGGTTGGGTCCATGATTTCAGGGTACACAGATCAATATAGGTTGGTTTCAGGATATTAGGATACATAGATCATACAGTATAGGTTGTGTTCAGGATATTAGGATACACAGATCAGTATAGGTTGGGTTCAGGATATCAAGGTACGGGTGATCAGAATAGGTTGGGTTCAGGATGTCAGGATACACAGATCAGTATAGGTTGGGTTCAGGATATCAGGGTACACAGATCACTATATGTTGGGTTCAGGATATTAGGATACATAGATCATGCAGTATAGGTTGGGTTCAGGATATCAGGATACATAGATCAGTATAGGTTGGGTTCAGGATATCAGGATACACAGATCAGTATAGGTTGGGTCCATGATTTCAGGGTACACAAATCACTATAGGTTGGGTTCAGGATATTAGGATACATAGATCATGCAGTATAGGTTGGGTTCAAGATATTAGGATACACAGATCAGTATAGGTTGGGTTAAGTATATCAAGGTACGGGTGATCAGAATAGGTTGGGTTCAGGATGTCAGGATACATAGATCAGTATAGGTTTGGTTAAGGATATTGAGGTATGGGTGATCAGTACATGTAAGCTGTCAATAAAAAATCTCAATTTTAATTACTTTTAAACTTGTAATTCGAAAAAAGCTTGTTAACAATAAAAAATTTAATAAAAAATGAGTCTTCATTATATTGATAATACCGCCATATATATTTCTAGGTTTCAAGCCTGCAAGGATCAAGGAATGAACCCTGAGCTTGTGGATTGTAAAAAGAAATGGAACCCCGAAGGTAAATATTTTTTTATACTCCAACTTTTCTAAATTTATGCCAAATTTACGAGATTTTTAATATCAGAACCTTCTTTTCTTCCATTTTCCTTTCAAGCTTTTATTGTAAAATTTATTAATAATTATTTTCCTTGAAGGAATCTGGGATCAATCCACCCGATAGTGCATTTTGCATTCATTGTTCAAAGTTTGCAAAATTCTAAGTTTTGTTTATTCATAAAAATCGTGAAAAAATATTTAATGGCTTTGTGTAAATTTTGAAGTTATAAATACATGAAACAGCCTTATTTTTGAAAATCTTAGGACTTGAAGGCCTTTCATTCTTCTTGTTTTCAGGACAAACAAACGCATGCCCAAATTAAAGATTTTACTTTTTTCTGTCTGAATTCAGGCATATTTCAGGCAGTGTAACCAGGTGGCAAGACAAAAATCTTTTTTGACAGATTTCAAAATTTCATTTGAACACTTTGAACCAGTTTGCTCGTGTCACATTCTTCCAAAGTTTTGACTCTGACAGAAGATAAAAAGATCTGACAGAAGATCAGCCAGGTCTTAGTTAAAACATTTTCAGGCCTATATCTGATCAGAAGGAGGTCAGTGTAATGTTCCGTTGTTAATTGTTAATTTACAACCTATTTTTTAATTAACAATTGATAGCTAAACAGACTGAAAATTAAACATGTCGATTGTGGAAGTTTTCTTTAAATTCTAAACTTTGAAATGAAAAAACAAACCCATATAATTTTGAATTTTGTTAAATTTTTTAGAAGCTTTATGAAAAGCAAAAACATTGAAGTATTTTAAAAACGGATAAAAAAACTCTACCTTACACCATCTCTAGGTTGAGTTCTTGTTTCAGGAGAGTCCTCTAGACCTCGTCTCGGAGGACGTGGTCGGGTCCGGAAGCGGAAACATTGTGTTGAGGATGAAAAGGAAGGAGAAGAGGATGAGCTAAGAGTGGAGGAGGACGGCCTCTCGCCAAACTTTGCCGAGGTTCTTGGATTCTTTATAACTGTTCCAGGAAGAGTTCCAAGGTAAAAAGAAAAAACTATAAAAAAAAACTAAGAAAGTCTATTACTCTACATTATTTCACTTCCTTCTATAAGAGTTCCGTTTTGGTTGCTAAAATGGTAAACATTGACCGGGGAGCATACAATGACAATAATACAATGAATTAAGAAAAGTATTCATTCAGTCCCTTTTAAAGGGCAAAAATTAAATCTCCCGACCATAATTGAGTGACATAAGACATGTAACAAAGGCAAAAAAAATAAGATTTAAAAATACAAAAATCCGGCAAAAATGGAACTTTCAGATTAATTAACTTATTCCACACCTAAATCAAAAGTCCAGTCTTCCCAGCAAAATCTAAAAAGATTATCTTTGAAAAAACATGTGACCCCCTTTTTTCTGATTTTTTTATGGCGAGAATTTTTTTTCATTTGGCGAAATTTTTACAGCAAAATATTGTTATTGTCTTGCTTTATTGATTTTCGATGGCAAAAGTTTTTATCAAAGAAGTCAATGAAAAAATAAAAAACTCAGGTGCATTTTTATTTTCAGTCCCAATCAAGTCAAATCAAAATCAGTAAAACCACTATTTTTTCAAACAAAGCACGAAAAAAGCTGTAAACATGTTGTATTTTTATTTTTTACATTTTGAAAGTCCTTATAGAGTTAATCCCTCATCAAAATCTCAAGAAAATAGCTACAAAAATTAAGGCGTTGGCCTTCCTTAAAAATTTGTGGCATTTGAGGGGAAATGTGCCCATTCCCCTTTTAGGTAATTTGAGCTGATCTTTAATCCTGTTTAGATGGGTTGAACTGATCTATAAACCTGTTTTGATGTGTTGAACTGATCTATAAACTTGTTTAGATGGGTATAACTGATCTATAAACCTGTTTAGATGGGTTGAACTGATCTTTAATTCTGTTTAGATGGGTTGAACTGATCTATAAACCTGTTTAAATGGGCTGAACTGATCTATAAACCTGTTTAGATGGGTTGAACTGATCTATAAACCTGTTTAGATCGGTTAAACTGATCTATAATTCTGTTTAGATGGGTTGAACAGGAACTGATCTATAAACTTGTTTAGATGGGTTGAACTGATCTATAATTCTGTTTAGATGGGTTGAACTGATCTGTAAACATGTTTAGATCGGTTGAACTGATCTATAAACCTGTCTAAATGGGTTGAACTGATCTATAAACCTGTTTAAATGGGTCGAACTGATCTATAAACCTGTTTAGATGGGTTGAACTGATCTATAAACCTGTTTAGATGGGTTGAACTGATCTATAAACCTGTTTAGATGGGTTGAACTGATCTATAAACCTGTTTAGATGGGTTAAACTGATCATTCTGTTTAGATGGGTTGAACTTATCTATAAACCTGTTTAGATGGATTGAACTGATCTATAAACTTGTTTAGATGGGTTGAACTTATCTACAATCCTGTTTATATGGGTTGAACTGATCTATAAACCTGTTTAGATAGGTTGAACTGATCTATAAACCTGTTTAGATGGATTGAACTAAATGATGGATCTATAACATCAGCTTTACCTCAGACCAAACTATCTCCCTTCTCAACCTCTACCAGTCTTGCCAAGTAAGTACAGTAGTCAGCCAAATAATATGAAATACAAGATCTTTAAAACGAAAGATTTTTATTGCAATATTTCTTGTGAAACATCAAGCAATGGGCTCATTCTGACTTATTTCTTTTAATAGTTACAATGATATCCATAACACTTTGGAACAGAAAATCAATGTAAAAATGGTAAACTGGTAAAACTATATTTATGCTTTATAACAACATCAAATTTACAAAAGATTTCTTAACTTTCGTTCATAATCCACAGTTTTATATATATCTAACTATAGGCATATTTTCTGCTCTGAGACAAAAATATTGAATTAATAAAAAACACTAAGAGCACTTCAGCTCATCTCGATTACTCCTTATTACTCTCCAATTTTACATATTGTTGGAAACATCTAAATAATGCATTTATGCAATTTTCTAGAGATCTAGAGAACGTTCTTCAAATAGAGGTTCCTGTCGTGAATTCATCCAGATTTCCTTATTTAGGGATGTCAAGCCTATATTCTGATCATTTCTTCATTGTCTCTAAATGAAAACTCCACAAGTTGCTTATGCAAATAAACCACAAATGAAAATAATCATGTTTCAAAACAAACATAATATCTAATACATACTTGATTCGAGACAAAACTAGTAAGGGTTCTGACCATAGAGAATAGAATATATAGAGAGGAATTTACCAGAGAAAAGTGTAAAACGGCCATTTTGTTGTACTGTTTCCATACTGCAGGTGTACTTCACATATTTATGCTATATAACCTGTTGGGCCCTGGAATATAATTTTATAGAAAATCTAAAATTATTGTTAAAAGAAAACCAAATTATGAAATAGGCTGGTTTCATAATTGACCAATGATCATTTCACATAGAATTTATGCCTTCCACTTTACAAACGATGATTTTCTGTTATAACTATAAATCAAATGATGTTTTTTATTCACCTAATTCATTATAAAGTTTATTTAACAGTTTAAAAAATTCGAAATTGAAATGAATAGTCTAGGGAACATACTGTATTAATGTACTCTACTGCATATAATTTGTGAACATTTACATGATTTGTACACTTTGAACTCCCTTTCAGGCTGAAAGGAACTGAAAAAATTCATACCGAGAGATTCTTTTAATTCTACTCTATAAATTCTATTCTCTATGGTTCTGACTTCTGTTGTGAATCTAACATACCACTGTATTAATAACTAGAAATTACATTACATTAAAACTACATCATCACCACTATTTCATAAGGAATTTTGTCCGTGAATCTCAAATGATGACTTTCATGATTCTTTCAATTTCCAAAATTTCTGATATCCTGTACTTTTTCAAACAGATTAAAAATCCCTTAAATTACAGGTATTAATTAAATCTCTGTAAATCAGAAACAAAAAGCGTATTTAGGGTACTTTGTGACCTTTTCTTTTTCTAGTTTGGATTTTAGTTTTTTTTTTTTCCATGTTCTTTTTTGTAAAGTTTGAAACCATAGTATTCAAAATATTTCACTATAATTTCCTGTTTTAATAGCCTCAAAAACTAACATAATAGATATAAACATAAATTACTTTTACTCCATTTCAGTAAAGTAACATGTTCACTTATCGTAGAGGTAGAAAAATTACTACAAATGTTGGAATTTATTTTTACACAAAAGCTTTTAGTGGCACTTATTTTACGCTGTAAATATGTTGTTTATACCTTATTATATCTGAAATATCACAAAATTAGAAAAAGTATATTTGTTGAATTAACTCTGGTTTGATGATCTCAGTATCTAAAGATGTAACTCCGACACAAGTCAAGAGTGTTATAACCTACGGAGTGAGACGGCTTTACGGAGAAAAAATCCAGAGAACGGAACCTCTTAATCTTTCAAAAGAGCTTTGTGAACTTGAACTTAATGTGATTCCTGGTGATCGGAGACACAAAGCTATCCCCAAACCTGATCCTGAACCTAAACGTCTTCCTAATTTCTCCAACCTTATGAAACCTGTGGAGACCCAAACCAGAGAGAACTCCGAACCTAAAATTAATATTCAGGAAAATAACGAGTTTAACCCGTCTTTAAGAAAAGATTAAAAGGAACTCTTTCCCAACTGTAATTTTCAAATCCTTATATTTGCAACCTGAGGCCGAATTAAAAGAATTTGAACCGCGTCGCTCAACCACCGATAACCGGTTCCAATCGAGCATTGGCTCAAATCTTTAAACAATAAAATATCCAGCTAACCCAACCATGTTTGAACCGCGTCTTATCTTGACGCGATTCAAATTCTTTAAATTCGGCCTGTGGTGTCAAAGATATATTTCAAATTATAAATTCTGAGGGATTTTACACCATCAGTTCATTTTTCTGATATCTTAATGTATTGATACATAGATACATAAACACTAAGATTTATTAAACCATGAACTTGTTTTCTGTCAGGAGTTCGTTGCCCAGTATGATTTTAATAATGATAAATTCGATCGTATCGTCTTCGATCTGAAATCAGATCACTCAGAGGTAAACATAAAAAATAAAGCCATAATAAAAGTTTGGACAATCAATGGATATTTATTTTAGTTAAAAGCTAAAAATATATTTACTATTGTTTGAAGCTTTAAAAACAGTACTATCCAGGTTGCTAACCCAACTTTCCCCAACCTATTCCAGAATGGACCCGGAGAGAAGAATGGAATGGCTGATTTAGTCCTGGAGAATCAGAAGATTTCTCCGGAATATAATCTTATCCCGGAGAGAACACCTGAGGCGTTCAAACCCTCCGGAGTTATCAAATTTCAAGGACGAAGGTAAAAATCTTTGACAGAGTTCTGATTGTATTAAATAGAGATAAATAGAAAATATTACATTAGAGACAAGTTTCCACCTAATAGTAACACGACATTTTCATTCACAACTATAATTATTAAGGGGCTGTATACAGACATTTAAATTGGATTTATATCTAAATATATATATATATATATATATATATATATAGATATATATGAGCAAAAGGCTGATGGGTGTATTTTTCGGCCTACGCCAAATCCGCTATACTAAACATCCGACCTACTAGCACGTAATTTTACAGCTACTATATGGACATAAGTAAGTAAGTAAGTAAGATTTATTAGAGATAAATCAAGATCATTATACACATTATAATATGATTAACATTCTCATGGGAATAAAATTGAATATATCATGGGGTTTTATCAAAGAATAAGATAAGGTTATATCATAGGAAGTTTAATTTTCTCTGCATATAGGGAATAGCAGATTTTCTGTAATTCTCCGTTCTAGCATAGTTGACAGTAAATAGTTCAATGTTCCGTAGCTGGTGGTTGTGAGTGACCGGTTCTACCGGGAATAGGGCAGAATGCCTTTGAGATTTTAGACATTTTCTAGCAAAGGATAAACAAAGTTTCTCTCTCCTAATCCTTAAGGTTTCTAGTTCCAGAACTGATAGAGCAGATTGATAATTAACATACACTGGGCCTAGAATAACTTTTAGGGACACCTTCTGAACCCTTTCTAGGGCCTCATCCTGTGCTATGGTTAAAGAGGAACTCCATACTACACAACAGTACTCAAGAATACTACGTTTATACGCAATGTAAACCAGATCTTTCAGGTTCATACCAATAAACTTGAGTTTACAGAGTAGGGATACTCGGGCATAAGTCTTTTTGCATATTTCTCTTGTATTAGTCTCCCAACCTAGGTTTTCAGTTATCCAGACTCCGAGTAACTTCATTGATTCAACTCTTTGGAGGTTAGAGCTATTTAGTTTGAGTCTGGTACTAAAGTTGGATTTAGATCTGGTGAATAGCATTTAGTTGGATTTCTCACAATTAAGCATCATTTTATTCTGTTCAGTCCAGTCTGATATTGTGTTAATGCATATCTGAGTGTGAAGGTTGGTCGGAGGGATAAAAATATTAGCAATACCAATATCTGATGCAACATGCAGCTTATGGTTATATGAGGATATTCCAGTTGAAAGGTTGGATAAATAGAGAAGTTCAAGTATAGTTAGATCGTCAACATATTTAAATCTGCAGTCAGTATTAACACAATCTGCATTATCATTGCATTGAACTAGGTACTCCAGTACTCCAAGAAGTGTACCCTGTGGACCACCTCCCGGCATTGGTATGTTTTAGATGTACTTCCATTAAATTTTACTGACATAGTTCTGTCTGACAAGTAACTTGATATTACACTGAGAAGAGCAGGACGGACTCCTAGGTTCATAAATTTTGTGGCCTCAGCGCCCGGCCCTTATCCAGTCCTAGCCGCGGCACTCAGCCCCCTAGCCTGTCCTAGCCCCAGCGCTCGGCCCAAAACTGTCTTAACCTAACCTAACCCTAAAAATAATACAAAAATACAAAAAACAGCTGGCGTAGGTTCGATATTGCAGTAGGTCGGAAAGTTAGTAGCTCAGAAGTTCAGTACAGACGATGTAACATTACCCAAAAACCTTTATTATTTAGATAATGAATTGTTAACTTTCATATTGTTTTAATTATACTTATATTTATGTCTAGGTTAAGACAGAGAACCCGGCCATTGGTCTCTGAAACAAGCACTACAAATGAACTTAAGTTCTCAGATTTCTGAACCTTGATTGTTCCGATTTCTAAGCCCTCCCGAGAACTCCGATTTCCTATCCTAAAAACAAACCACAAACAGCGATAACCATTTCATGATAAAAATTTCCCGCTATATAAATAAGAATATCTACGAAATCCTTGATCAAACAAAGGTTAAAAGTGTATCGTTGTAAATCGGACATGCCACTCTATAAAGGAAGGTATTTTGAAGATGAAAGATGAAAATTATAAAAATGCAGTTTTTTTCGGAATGAGATCAATAATTTTTTCGGAAAATTTTGATTTAGAAAATTAGAAATTAATCAATGCAAATTTTATATAAATTATTTTGTTTAGGTTTTCATAGAATAAATATGTAAATCACTTTGAATTATAATTATTTAGTCAATTACGCGTAAATCACTTTGAATTATAATTATTTAGTCAATTATGCGTAAATCTGATCAAAATCACGTTTTCTTATTTATTCGTATTTTAACCAATCAATGTGCAGACACCTTTTTTATGTATTTTACGCATGTTTTCTGATTTTTCTTCAACCTGAAGTTACCATAAAATTTATTTTTGGAAGTACCCTAGACATGAAGGTCGCATTGGTCCAATGTCTTATATAATAAACATCTAGGTAAAATACTATATATTATGTGTATTTGTAAAAACACTGTAAGCTTTTCAATACTGACACAAAGGAATTGAGTCTTTGCCATAAACCTTGAATTTCTAACGTTAATATCTTTGCTACCTGATGTTTTAAACCTTTGATATTTCAAATTTAGATTATTTGATCCAAAAAAAATCATAGCTTTTGTTTCGAGGGGTAAGGGGGCTCAGAACCCATTGGGGTCTGAAACCCCCCAAGATTTCACTTATCCAGGGTAGGGGGGCTGAGAAATACAAAGATATTTAAACTTCAAACTACAAACAAGCTGTTTTCAACGTTCTACTATAGATATATTTACTTTTAATAGAAAATTGTAAACTTTGCCATATTCCGGAGCGGTCGATATTGGTAATTTTAAAATCCCGTGTTGACAAAGTGGTCGATATCGACTCTGCTGTCCCTATCTTTATAACAATGCATTGTATGAAAATAAAAAATATTTCTGTTCCTGTTCTGTGGAACATTTCTAACAAAATTGAAAAGGAGTCTTTGCCACAAATTCAGTTTTTGTAAAACCTATATCTTTGCAACCTTATGGTGTAAGACTTTGATATTTCAAACTTACATTATTTGACTTAATAGCATTCATAGTTTGAAATATTAAAGATCTCTGACATTGGGTTGCAATGATATTGAAATTAGAAAATCAGAGTTTGTGGCAAAAACTCAATTCCTATGAAAAAAATGTTTTGAAAAAATATGGCTCTCGGACGGTTTATTGATATATTGTCTACAGACTGGAATTATATCATCAAATATATCTAACTAAACTTAATTGAAAGGTTATTTTATGTTAAGGTAGTTGATTTTTAAATTTAGATAAATTTTTGGCAAAAAATTCTAGAATGTAAATATAAAATTCTTATTGATATTCTAAAGGGAATTGAGTCTTTGCCGCAAACTCGAATTTTCCAATCCCTAAAACTTTTAAAATATTGGCGTAAGCCTTTGGTATTTTAAACTTTGATAATTTAATCTAAAAGAATTCATAGTTTGAAATATCTAAGATCTACGACATTGGGTCAAAAAGATATTGGGCTTTGAAATTCAGAGTTTGTGGCAAAGACTCAATTCCTTTAACGTAATTCTTATATTGAATTATTAACCTGAATTTGTTGGAAAAATATTATCTTCTGTTACTATTGTGTTGGGACATAATTTTTTGTTTGCATGGTTTGATTGAAAAACACAATTTTTAACAATAATTCTTTAAAATTTATTCGCATTATTTTAACTTGATAAACCTATGACAAACAGATCTTATGATGTAAAATGAAGAATTATAAAATTTCGTAATTTGGGAAATTTTAAGATGAAAACATAAATTCGTTTGAAATAAATAGAATTATGTAAAAATAAAAGAATTTAAAATAGCAGGGAACTCAATTTTTTTTAGATTTAGAGAAACAGCACAAACATATCTTTGAATGTTTAAATCTTGTTCATTGTTCTGTCTACAGAGAAATGTTTTAAGATTATATAACACCTCAACATTCTTCAACAGATGTAATAACAAAACCTTTTCTATTATTAAGCTCTCTCGGATTTTTTTTGTCGGCGCATTTTTTAGCGCATGTTGTCAATTTTCATGCAGAAACACGAGGCTTTCGTCTCATTATTCATTTCTAATTATTGTTAAAGAGTTGTTTTTCAAATCCACACAATAAAAAAACTTGTTTGGCTATTGGAAAAATAATTATTGCTAGCTGAAAAAATATGGAGAAATGTTTACATAAATATTATATCACATTTTGCTACACCAAACAAGCTTCAAATTTAATCTTTCTTCATAACCCCCAGTTCTTTATAACCCTCAGTTCTTTATAACCCCCCGTTCTTTATAACCCCCAGTTCTTTAAACCCCCAGTTCTTTATAACCCCCCGTTCTTTATAACCCCCAGTTCTTTATAATCCCCAGTTCTTTATAATCCCCAGTTTTTTATAATCCCCAGTTCTTTATAACCCCCAGTTTTTTATAACCCCCAGTTCTTTATAATCCCCAGTTTTTTATAATCCCCAGTTCTTTATAACCCCCAGTTCTCTAGATAATAGCTCTAGGCAGTCTAGGAAACTTTTTCTTCTTCTTCTTTTAGTTCTTTATCAAGTTTTGCTTCGTACTCCGCAATATAATGAAGACCAGAGGCATGGATTTTATCCAGAGCTGGCGAAATCTAGACAATAGTAATTACAATAATAATAATAATAATAATAATAATAATAATAATAATAATGATAATAATAATAATAATAAATATAATTATTGATAATATTGATAATATTGATAACCTGTATTTCTGTAAAACTATTGTGAAAAATAACCCCCTCCTGGGTGTAAAAGTTCCTGAACATTAAACAATGCTCTTCAAATTCAAATATATAAAACAAGGTTCTCAATGTGCCCTTTATACCTATTTATAGTTACTATGTCAAACTGAATTCGGTTTTCACTATTTTGAAAATATTTGATAGTTTTGATTTTTACCTGACGTTATTCAATCCCTCTTCATCTATTCTATCTGGTGCTGCAGCCTGCAGGTATTTGTTGTAATCGTACCTAAACATAGGGATCATGTTAAACTAACGTGAATTGCTTGTTTCTAAATCATAACTCTTCTTATTAAAGAGCGAGCTATTCAGAATTTCTAATATAATACAGAATAAATTTGATTTCTAATATTTGTTCCTGAAATCAAAACTGGGGGAGCTCCGAGGTCACAAAAACGTACCAGAAATCTTGCATAAATTTTACCGTCTCCTAGTCTAGTTTTTTAACTCAAAATATTCAAACCTGGGAGATTGCCACTGTTAAGTTGGATAAACTGTTTAGTTTTATAAACACAAGAGTCAACAAATAACATCACTAAAATGTTGTAAAAGCTAACAAGTCCTATTCTTAAATTTTACTCTAGTAATTTCTCTGCGATATTCCCAAAGCCCTAGAAACTCTTCAAAGCGTTAAAAGGAGCCACACCACCCTTCTTAAATATATATTCGAAACTATCTGAGAAGTAAATTAAAAAATTATGTAAATTGTAATGTTACATACAACGGATGAAGTTTTATATGACGACAGTACAGATTTTATCAGGTTTTATTTCTGAATGTCATGGCCCTCTAGCTTTATTCTTAATATTTTCGTTGTCACGTCATTGATAAGGGCTACAAGATAATTTCTGATTAACCTTTACAGAGCATTGAAAGGATTGGNATACAACTTCTTATATGAAGACGACTTTAAGACTCAGGTTTTGAGTTTTTAAAATCCCATGAAAACAAAGCATGTTCACTTAAAAGGAACCGCCCGGCCAAACGGTAACTTTGTCAACAATGTGGAAGATAATGTCGTTTTCTGGACTAGAAAGTTTTTAATATGATAATGTCGTTTTTCTGGACTAGAAAGCTTTTAATATGATAATGTCTCCATTTTTTCTGAAGTAAGAAATGCCAAAGTCACTTTTATAGAGGAAAAAAGAAGTAAAGTTAATCAGTTTTAATAAAAAACATGGATGTTTATATAGCTCTTAATTGATCAGAAAAAGCGTGAATTAGACATTTTACTCTATCAAAGGATGGTGACTTGAAATGACGCTTAAAGTCACTTAAATAGGTTGATGATTAAAGGGGGTGTTCACGAAAAATTAAAGGGGGTATGCTTACGGCGAAAAATAATCGATGTTGATCGCTACTAATCTTACTTCTATTTGTTGCGTCTTTAAGGAGAAAATTGTTAAAAACGACTAATACTGAAGAATGTAGTGTCCATACAAATTCAGAAAAAATGCAATATACGACTCGGATCGTAAAAAATCAATTCAATTTCTCAAACAAATTATTCAGACGCATTCATCTATAGTTAATATATCATATTTTTTATTCTTTTTGTATACAATGCACTTAAAACGCCGAAATAGTTTGCCGCCAGATATCTCTGCTCTCGATGCTCTGAATGATCACATATGGCAGAGACACCTAGCGGAAAAAGTCGTTGATTTTTTTACAATTAAATTGATTTTTTTACGATACAAGTCGTATTTTTCAACTTTCTGAATTTGTACGGACGCTACGTTCGTCTTTTTTATCAATTTTCTTCTCTTAGACGCAACCGACAGAAGTAAGATTAGTATAAGCGATCAAAAGCGATTATTTTTTGCCGTAAGCCCCCCTTTTAATCCTCCGGTATATATACTTTCACATCAACTACCCATAGTGCATTATTGCATAGTACCCATTAGATTTCTCACATGTCGTGTTCCTATCATATATAGTTTTATGGGTCTTAATGTACCTATCTGTGTTAGCTCCATCAGTATCCACAATCTCCTGAAGGTTGGGATATCTTTTCCGGTCCAAACCAGAAATAGTCTAAATTTTTTATCTCTAATTCAAAATTCGTGGGAAATACCGTAATACATGAACCGACAAAAAAGTAAAAAATATCAAATTCGAAAAATTCCCATTAAATGGATGAAAGTGGGTGCAAAAGTTAAGGCTCACTGACTTTTTACGAATAGATTTTCCCATTTTCCCAATAAAGGAGTTCTTTCATTTGTTAAGTTGTCATTTGGAAAATTTTCCAAAATCTCTATTATGTTTGTGGAAATCGGTTTCAGGAGCGTACGAGGGGGGGGGCGGACCCCGGCTCCCCCTTACGTGTTTCCCCAATGTTAACAGAAAAATCCGCCAAAAATTTAGTTAAGAAAAAAATGGCAGATTGAAAAACAACATTTAAACGCTTAAATTGTTGCTAGAAGAGGGTCTCGAAGCGTCCTGAACAGGGGCGTGAGAGCGGAGGGGGCACCCATAAAAAAAATACTTTAAAATCTCACTTTTTCCCTGAACTAAAAAAGTTTCATTAGAAAAGTTTTAATCAATACTGCCTTCAGTGTAGATATCTTTGATATCATTATTTATAAAAATGATTTATAATGTGTCCTTTCTATGGAAATAAAGATTTTTTTTAAAGAAACGTTTCCATCTCTATTTTTCACCCATTGAAGCTTACACCACAGTTCACAGTATTAAAAGGGATTGTCTGATGAGTCCACTTAAAGAAATTACATAAATAATTCATTAATAACACTTGTAATATTGAAGTGTGTATATGATCGAATAGTTTACATAGTTAAAAAAGGTATCAATATTTTTTCAAAAAGGGTTTTTTAAGGGTGGGCACAATGTTGCTCTCCTACGCCCCTGATCAGTTTCTTTGGCAGAAATGGAAGCGTTTCAACCAAATAGATAATAATCGAACAATAGATAACGGATACATTGTTTCAACCTTATTCACATTAAAAAGAAACATGGTTTACATAGAAATTAAATTAAAAAGTTGAGACTGAGCTGAAAACTTTAGAATGGGATATCCTTAATCCCGATCGGTTAACTAATCTAGAGATTAATAACAGAGGAGAACAAGCATTATTTAATCTGGAGATTAAGAAAAAGAGAGGAACAAGCATTAATTCCGATATCCACCATTCAAAAGTTCCCAGCTCTGTACAGTGTACACTGTACACTGTTCATGTACAGTACTGTGTAGAGCCCGAATCTTCCAGTCCGTCTTTTTGCAGACATATGACCCCATCGACTGTGGCCGTCCTAAGTACGGTGAAACACGACCCCTCTCGGCGAAAACAAATAGAAAGCATAGTAAAATTAGATACTGTGCTGACACCTATACTTTGGGTGACATCTGGCGGACAAACACTATAGAGTACGGAGACATACAAAGTACGTCTTAAATACGCCCGTTAATTTGGAACGCATCGGGCTCTGCAGTGTAAATACCTGATCCCAAAACCAGTTTGGATAGTTTGGTACATGAGGCATAGTTGTATATCGGGATAGTTCAGTCGGAATTCTAATCTACACAATTAACGATTAAATTATTAAAGGGAGTGACCGGCAATGTATAGTAGTAAAACTGAGAATTTAGTATTGTTGACATTTTTTTAGGGATCATTTGAGACATTTGAGACGTTATTACGGTGCATAGATATAGGGATTACAAAATTACAGTTTGTGGTGAAAACTCATTTCCTTTCTGTATTTTTCTTGATTCCATGAATCTGCAAATCAGTTTTATAGAGAAAGACAATTGAAAATAATGAATTTCAAGCAATAAAAAAAATTTGTATCATCCTTAATAAGACAAAGGTTGAATGGGCACCGTTGTAAATCTATATAATATTAGTGCTGCAACCTGCCCACTGTTAGGTAAAGTACATAGTAGACAGGTGGCACGCTAGACGGGCTGGTACGAATATGAGTACCGCAACCTGCCCACTGTTAGGTAAAGTACATAGTAGACAGGTGGCACACTAGACGGGCTGGTACGAATAACCAATCCTTGTACTTGTTCAGATTATGCAAAGATGAAACTATAAATGTAAATTACCACTTTAATCCTTTAAAAAACAATATTATTACCAGAGTAAGATCTTGGTTCTTGATCCTAATATACAAATCCTCATCCTCGCACCCCCATCCCAGATACATGTTGGAGAAACCGTTTATACTCTCATACTGGAGTCGGGTCATACCGGATACTCCTCCTTTATCAGTGCGCACTCTTTATACAAGTATTTATGCGATAAACAAAAATTCAAACATTTTTTAACTTTTTACTTGTAAGCCAGACATAAAATGTGTGTCACAAACTGAAATTTTGAAATCACGTTATCTTTGCAACCTGATTAAGAATTCATTGTTTAAAATATATCTCAGGCTGCAACATAAGGGAGCAAAGATAGAGGGATTAGAAAATCAGAGTTTGCTGCAAATAATCAAATTAATTTCCATTCAAAGATAGCTTTATTTGAAACAACATTGAAAGCACACACCCTGGGTGTATGTACTTAGTTTTATGCCTCCTTTTTCATTTAGTTTTCAGTTTTTTGGTTTTCAAGAGCCTCCACCATTGTGTGATGCTCAGCAAACTTACAAAATTTTATGCTTCTTTGTATCTAGAAAAAATCCGCAAATAAATATTGAAAAACCACAATTAAAAACAATGAGCCTTGTTTTACCATTAAGGTAAAATAAGAATCGCTCATGTATCCTTGATTAGACCAAGATTTAAACACTTGCCTTCGTGATCGGACATTCCACTTTATACATGGAGGTACAAAAACTTTTCTAGTCCCTTTTCAGTTCATTTTTTAAATATTCATTTCATCAATTTTAAGATTGATTTTTTAAAATTGTAATAACCAATTTACTATTTGTGCTTATAGTTTACTTTTTGGTTTTGGTTTTCTTTAAAAAGTTTCTCTTAGAGTTGAGTCACACACTTCTGCCTCTTTCGTAAAAGTAAATTGAACATATATGAAGAATAAAGTCTGACCGCATCAACCTTGTTGCACCGGCTAGTCCTGTTAATATTGCTAGGTAAAGTAAAACTGGGACCGGAAAGATTGACCCGGCTCGGAAATTCAAATGTACTACGGCTGCCAGTTGAGTGTTAAGTGAATTCCATTACTATACTTCCGACGGTGATATAAGAGCAGGGAAATATAATGTTTCAATAGAAAGGCACAGTGAAAAAGAAATTGAATTTGGGGGCCAAATAGATTTTATTTAATAATTCTATTCTTGGGAATTTAGCTTTGCCGGGAAATCTATACTTTCCTTTCATTATAGTCGACCCACTCAACTTAGAATTTTTAAACCAAGCTAAAAACATTCCTCTATTCTACTAAGTTCCCGAATAGGAGACAAATCCGTCAAGGGTTCATGAGTTATTATCATTTGACAAGACATAGTGCATTCTCTATATACCATTAGGCTTTCAGAGTGTTTCGCGCTCATCTTCGGTTTTAACTTTTAATGGTTGCTCTATCTGTGGCATTTTCTCTACTAGAATTATCAAACAATAACAAAAAATGTTTGCGGATTTATTAATTTATTTTTCGTAGATTTTAAAAAATCAAAATCTGTTAAGGCAGATTTTTTTAATTTGCATTAAACAGGCAGACAGATAAACAAATTATATATAAATAGACAGCCAAAAAGGGATTTCCATACTTATTATGTCGCAAAAAAAATATTTCAATAAATAGTTTCTAATAATTAAGTTGGACAAGTCAGGGTTTGATTTTGTATTTTGTATTGAAGGTTCAAATTTTTACACCTTGAATACTTGATAGTTGCAAAACTTTTTTTTGAGTGGGGAGGTGATGAAATCAGGAGAACAAAAACTAAGTGTGTATTTTTCGAGAAAAAACTTTAAATTAATTATAAGTACCAAGCGCGGAGTAACAAGAATTCTCATTAAAAATAAGAGTTTTTTCAAACATTTTTATTTGAATTTTTTATCTTGATATTAAATTTCTTCGCTTAAAACTTCCAAGAAAAGATAAACTAAAATACTCATTAAATTGTAACTTGTTTAAGAGAAGTGGGTTTCCTGTGTACTCTGTCATGAACAGATTGTAATCAAATCTGAAAATAAACTTCTAAGTTCAACTACCAAAATTTCGTGATCGTTTCCAAAAATTGAAAAAATGTATCTAAAAATCGTCGCTAATTCTGTTTAGGTATGTACATTTTTTTCAATTTTTGAATACGATCTAAATTCTAAATTTCTGTCTTCAGATTTCCCGAGACTTGGGACTTTCTTGGGGGAATTTATTCCTCGGAAATTTTTCCTCCGAAAAGTACCTGGCCTCCGATCATTGGGAATTGAGTCTTTGCAATATTCCCAAATTGTCTATTTCCTATATATTTTCAACCTACGATCTACGACATTGGTTTGCAAAGATATAGGGATTATAAAATCATAGTTTGTGGCAAAAACTCAGTTCCTTATCGGGAATCAAAACCCCAGCGTAATTATCTCATGGCATTTGAGGATATTTGGACTTTTTTCCCAGGCACTAATTTAAAAAAGTTTCTGACAAGGATAGAACGGATTACTCGACCCAAACTCTAATTTTCGTATAATTATACCTTTGCAATAGTTAAAAAATAACAAAGGTCTATGCAAACATTATGACAATAGAGTTTGATTGAGGAAGCAGTTCCTTACTTATTTCTAGCTTCTCATTGGTTGAAATACGCGGTTCTAGCTTCTCATTGGTTGAAATACACGGTTCAGGCGTAATTTCAATTGACTCTCCATGGAAAGATGACAATGCCCGTTCACAACGGTACCTTTATACCTTTCAATGATCAAAAAATCTTAAACATTAATATCTGATTCAGACAAAGCTTTTAAAGAAGATAAATATTTCGCTTTCAACTTGTTTTCACGGCTGGCGCTAGATTTTCGAATATATGAATATGAAAATGTCGTCTTCAATTTCAAAAGTAACTCTCAGATCATGAAAAATAAAAAAAATATATTTTTAAATACCAATTTTTTACGTATGCGTCGAAAAAATCAATTACTATAGGTTTTAATATCTAAATGATTTGTTTGGAATAAATTTTTTTTACGATCCTAGTCGAATATTGCAACTTTCTGAATTTTATGGACGCTACGTTCTTTCTTCGCTTTCAACAATTTTTTCCTTTTTGGCGCAATAGATAGAAGTGAGATGTGTAGCAATCACCATAGCATATTTATCTACGTAAGCCTATACCCCCTTTCATGTTAACTTTCTTTAAGGGTACAATTGTGAATTGGACATGGAGAGTCTCTTTACATTACAGTTCTTTGTACATGCATTTTCATCTATTACAGGACGTTATTTTAAAAAGTTTCTTGTCTGTTCCCAACCTGTCAACAGCGTGGGATAGATGCGTGACACCGTGTTGCGAGCAGTAATAAACCATTCCTTCTCGTTCTAAACCCACATTTAAAGAATAAGGAAAAGTAGTTGAACCACGGAGTCAAGTCCAGGCGAAGAGAAGTGGTTTAACTTAATCCTGTCACGTAGTTCAACTACTTCTAGCTATTCATTAAATGTTCCCTGGTAGATGATCAACATCATGAAGGATAATACAGTCAGGTTTAAAACTTAAATGGTCCAGGCTCTCTTTGTATCCAGCATTGAATAACAATCCGCGCATAAATGGCGCATTTCCTAAACAAATCACATTTTTAGAAAATACTCATCTGGCTAAAAAAATCTTTGTTTTGATTATATTTTATTAAAAACATAAATTTTCCTTGACAATATTTGATTTTAATCAAAAGAAATAAATTCTATTAATTTAACGTTAAATAAATTGCTAAAACAATACTATTTGTAAAATCCAATATTAATCAAAATACTGTTTGAAAAATCCAGTAAAAAGGGACTAAAGCCTCAATTTCAAGTGACCCTCCATTTTTAGATTCAAAATGGTTGCTTTTATTTGATTTAAAACACTTATTTAAGGATGACTGCGATATCTTTTTCTTATTGTGGCTTCTGTATAAAAGAGATTTGCATATTTATGATATTGTTTTTTTCAGGAAAAGCTTTAAAGGGAACCGTTGTGAATCGAACGTGTCACTTTTTCTATGAAAAGTCACTTGAAATCACAGTGATAGTCCCTTGTTAAACCTGTTTGATTGACGACAACAACAACGTACTGCAAGTTCTGTCTCTGTAGAAAAGGATGCATAATATCTTTAATAAAAACTATTTATAAAAATAAAGAATTTAATTGGAAAGGAATTTCGTAAGATTATAAAATGATATAAATACACTAAAAAAAATATCAATTAAAATAGTTAGACCTAGAAAATGAGCAAGATGACTGGTACGATTTCTGAAAAATTCATATTTTTCATGCTTATTGTTTATAACTTGTACCTGTACCTGTACCTATACCTGTACCTGTACCTGTACCTGTACCTGTACCTGTACCTGTACCTGTTCCTGTACCTGTACCTGTACCTGTACCTGTACCTGTACCTGTACCTGTACCTGTACCTGTACCTGTACCTGTACCTGTACCTGTACCTGTACCTATACCTGTACCTGTGCATGTACCGGTACCTGTACCTATGCCTGTACCTGTATGGTATAAGTATTGCTATCCTAGATGTAGGTGAACAATGTGTAGGAGTATAAACTCCGCCTGGTCCCAACCTATCCGCCCAGCTTTTTTCAACCTCATCCAATCTCTTGTCAACCCACTCCGCCGGAAGAGGAACTAAGGAGGAGACAGGTGTAATTGGGGCGGAGCAAAGAAGCTGATGAGATGCACAATTAGGCTGACAGCATTTAGATCTTTTATAACTTACAAACTTAATTCATTTTAAATATCGGATTGAGAGGAATTGAGTCTTTGCCACAAACGAAAATTTTCAAATCCATATCTACACAGCTTAATGGTTTAAATCTTTGCAATTTCTACTTTAGATTATTTGATCTAGAAAAATTTGTATCAGAATTTGTGGCAAAGACTTAATTCCTTTGGCGTTTAATTTCGTTTTTGATCAAAAGTTTTTTTAAAGTTTGCTTTCCTGTTTGAATTGTAAATTGTACCTAAATTAAGAGAATATTTTCTATCGTGTTCAATTTAAATAGTTCAAAATATATGTATACATTTTCATATTTTTTATTTAATATTATCATATAATCGAAGATTTGGATTATTTTAAGATATCAGCAATGAAAGCAAAAATAAAAAGAATATTTTGGCAAGATTATTTTATATATTTTTTTTCAGATATTTTCCCCCCTGATATTCTCCTGATATTTTCCTGGAATTCTCCTGATATTCTCCTGATATTCTCCTGATATTCTCCTGATATTCTCTTGATATTCCATTGATATTCCCCCGATAATCTCCTTGATATTCACCAAATATTTGACCTGAAATTCCCCTGATATTCCCCTGATATTTGACCTGATATTCCCATGATATTCCCCTGATATTCCCCTAATAGTCCCTTGATACTCACCTGATATTCTCTTGATATTCCCCTGATATTCCCCTGATATTCCCCTGATATTCCCCTGATATTCTCCTGATATTCTCCTGATATTCCCCATATTCCCCTGATATTCCCCTGATACTCTCATGATATTCTCCTGAAATTCTCATGATATTCCCCTGATATTCCCTTGATATTCTCCTGATATTCTCCTGATATTATTCTGATATTTTCCTGGAATTCCCCTGATATTTCCCAGATTTTCCCCTGATAATCTCTTCATATTTTCTTGGAATTCCCATGATATTCTCCTGATATTCTCCTGATATTCTCCTCATTTCCCCTGATATTCCCCTGATATTCTCCTGATATTCTCCTGATATTCCCCATATTCCCCTGATATTCCCCTGATACTCTCCTGATATTCTCCTGAAATTCTCATGATATTCCCCTGATATTCCCTTGATATTCTCCTGATATTCTCCTGATATTATTCTGATATTTTCCTGGAATTCCCCTGATAATTCCCTGATTTTCCCCTGATAATCTCTTCATATATTCTTGGAATTCCCATGATATTCTCCTGATATTCTCCTGATATTCTCCTGATATTCCCATGTTATTCCCCAGATATCCCACTGATATTCCCCTGATATTCCCCTGATATTCTCCTGATATTCTCCTGATATTTTCCTGATATTCCACTGATATTCCCCTAATATTCCCCTATATTCCCCTGATATTCCCCAGATATCCCACTGATATTATCCTGATATTCTCCCGATTCTACTCTGACATTCCCTTGATATTCTCCTGATATTCCCCTGATATTCCCCTGATTACCTAATGAAATAATTATGAGACAGCTGACAATAATACTGGTGATTGAAGACTGTAGAGAATAATAACTGAGAATCATCTTGTCAATATCTTGTCTAGATCTTGCATAGATCTTGAATAGTTCTTTTATAGATCTTGTCTAGATCTTAAACAGTTCTTTTATAGATCTTGTCTAGATCTTGTCTAGATCTTGTCTAGATCTTGTCTAGATCTTGGCTAGATCTTGTCTAGATCTTGGCTAGATCTTGTCTAGATCTTGTATAGATCTTGTATAGATCTTGTATAGGTCTTGTATAGATCTTGTATATAGATCTTGTATAGATCTTGCATAGATCTTGAATAGTTCTTGTATAGATCTTGAATAGTTCTTTTATAGATCTTGTCTAGATCTTGTCTAGATCTTGGCTAGATCTTGTCTAGATCTTGGCTAGATATTGTCTAGATCTTCTTGGCTAGATCTTGTCTAGATCTTGTATAGATCTTGTATAGATCTTGTATAGATCTTGTATAGGTCTTGTATAGATCTTGTCTAGATCTTGTCTAGATCTTGTATAGATCTTGTATAGATCTAAACCTTATCTAATTGTTCGAAGTGGACTCCAAGAACATGTTAAATGGTTAAATGCAAAAGTCCAATCTGAAATTATTATTTCTCTAGAATTAATTTTAACATAATAACTGGAAGACAAGCAAAGTCAAACTACGGAATTACTGCTAAGACTTAGTGACATCAATTTACATTTACTTGTTTGATTGAATTTAGGTTTTATTCTTAACTTATTATTCTCTAACATTGAGTAACTGGAAGTTTTCAAATATAACTGTTTGATCCAAGTCTACAATTATAAAAACTGTAGCAACAGGTGCATACGTAGATACAGTGAGATACAGATGGTACAACATGTTTCATCTGTGTTTTAGCATCTAATAATGAGACACATGCAGGAGGAGGAGGGGTGTAATATATATAAAAAGTTTTAAAGTTCTTGTTTTCTTAGATTTTCTTGAAATATCCCTTGAGAAGAGAAAGAGGGTTCTCAGCTGCAATGAGCCTGACATTACTACCTCCAAGCCGCAAATTTAAAAATTTACCTCTGAGCCCTATGAAACAAGCTACTAGCCATGAACATGAAGTATTTAGTTACCATCGATGTTCATTAAAAAACGATTGTTGAGGATGAAATCCCCGAAAGAGGATTATAAAATCCGAAAATGAGTTGTGTCAGATACTGGAACCAGAGAAGACCTAATCATCTTCTTATATTTATGACTTAACAACAATTTATTCATTTAAAAAAAGTAGTAAATGTTGTTAGAGAAATCAAAGTTCTCTAAATTGTTGTAATCTCGTAAATTAGATTTCTTAAATCCTCTTTATCTGCGGATTATCTACTTAATTGGATAATCTAAAAATCAAATTAAAAATAAAAAGATAATTTTATTGTAATTTTAGATAGTAGAAAATAGAGGGAATTCCAAATTATTTGTATCAATATTTTTCAAATATTCCAATCTTTTGCTTTCATTTTTCAGGTCATATTAACTGCTAAAAAGTCTGTTTGCAACAACATACGTAGTTACGTATGGGATTTTTTTATTCTCAATATCCAATGTGGACATTTCAAATTGGAGGATCAATGCTTGATCCCTCAAGGTTATCCCTGCAAGATACGACTACCACGTGATATCGAAGAGGAATTAAATTAATTAGGATCGCATAAGATGGAGATCAATGTTTAATCCTGAGTTTAAGATGGAGATCAATGTTTAATCCTGAGTTTAAGATGGAGATCAATGTTTAATCCTGAGTTTAAGATGGAGATCAATGTTTAATCCTGAGTTTCACAAATCACAACACAAAAGTCTGACATCTGAGCTGAAAACTTTAGAATGGTGGATATCAAGATCAATGCTTGATCTCCTCTATTTCTTAATCTCCAGATTAAATAATGCTTGTTCACCTATTGCTTTTAATCTCCAGATTAAATAGCCGATCGGGATTAAGGATATCACATTCTAAAGTTTTCAGCTCTGATTGATAAAGAAGTATGAAGTATGCCTCTTGATCAGTTTACGTCACTATTCTACAGAGAAATAAATTATCTGAAAAACATAAAGTCATTTCTTGTCAGCTAATCTATAATTGATTGTTGTCAAAACAAAAATGAAAATATTTATATTTTCTCTCAATCATTGTGTGTCTATCTTAAACGTAACAATTGATTTTTTTTACCATACCACTAATCTTTTAGTTCGGAGTGCTAATATGTTTTGGACAGAAGTTTAAAACTTATACTTTATATCACGAGCTTTAGATAATTTATAATCTAAAACATGCGACAACCTTTAAGAGACAGCGAAACAAAATTATATTAAAAAATGTTTTTTAAACACAAACGATGATAACACCTGAATTTAATATACAGAATTTAAAGATTTTCGTACAATTCATGAATGAATAAATTGTTGACCCCCAAGTTGTTATTTTTATTGAATGTTTGTTTAAAAGTGATAAGTTTTTCTTCAAATTGAGACATAATAACCGGGGTTCGTATCTAGCAATATCACAATATCACCACAAAGGATCATATTACAAACTGAAGAGTGTAGATCAAACCCTTTAAAAGAAGAATCATATGAAATCAAGTCAACAGCCTCTTTAAGACGCTATAAATTTAAGACACTCCCCCCTCCCTCCCTCCCTCCCGCTCATTTAACTTTGGTTGGGCGTGTTCACTGCTTGGCTGATAAATTAATTTTAAAAAATTTGAATTCAAATTCAAAACTTGATTTTACGCCTGTTTTGGGTCTGAAAAAAATGGTTTAAATGTCCTTGAAAAAAACACGTTGGGAAGTGGGGTTTGGTTTCTCTTGATATAGAACTGGTGAGAGAGAGAGTGGGAGGAGGAGAAGAGATGTATCCTTGTATTTTCCAAGAGTAGTGGTATTCAAACCTTCCTCACTACTCCACCCGTAAGTAACACAGTCATAATTATAACCTCCGCTGTTTGTTATGGTTGGTTGGGAGAGAGAGTGTCGACTTAAAAAGAAATAGGCCATAACTGTAAATAGGCCATAACTGTAAATAGGCCATAACTGTAAATAGGCCATAACTGTAAATAGGCCATAACTGTAAATAGGCCATAACTGTAAATATCAAGAATTTGCGAAATAATTCTGATCAAAAATATCAGAGGTAAAAACTAATGGTTGGGATGGCGCTTAATCACATAGACTGATCTTGATATATAAAGCTTAAACTCTGCTTTTCTAATCCCTATCTTTTTAGTGTCAAACTGAAAATTCTGTTAATCCAATAATCTAAGTTTGAAAATCAAAGTTTACCACCATCTGGTTGCGAATATAAAGGGATTAGAAAATTTTGGTTTGTGGCAAAGACTGAATTTATTAATGGATTCAAGTTAAATTCTAGAGATAGAGTCGACTAAGAGATAAATAAGATGATTAAATGGAAGAAAGTGGTGGCTGTGTTAGACATAGGGCTGCAGGAACTGTTCCGTTAACGAACGAATTGTATAAAAATCAACGGAATATTTCGTTAAAGAACGGAAAAATTCGTTAATTTAGAAATCGTTAACGAACATAACTAAACGAGAAAAAAATGAACGGATGTGTTTCAGAATAACGCCGACGTTTGTTAATTTTCCTACTTAAAATCGTAAACTTACAGAAAATAAAAGATAAAGAGGTGTCCGGAACCGACTTACTTAAAACATAAAAGTTTTTACTTTTATATTTAAAAAATATATTTAGATTAAAGTTTTTATCTAAGAAAGGTCCAGATTCTGAACTTACCTATTTAAAAATTTATTGTAATTTAAGATTCGATCTTGAAAAAAAAACTGTGAGGAAGGTTAAACTGGATAGATCTGTTACTGAATATTTAATACGAGAATTTCTTATTCAACCATGAACTGGAGTTTCTTATTTAAACATTAACAGAAGTTTCTTATTCAAACATGAACTGGAGTTTCTTATTTAAACATGAAAAGGAGTTTTTTCTTCAAACATTAATAGAAGTTTCTTATTCAAACATGAAGAGGAGTTTCTTATTTAAACATGAAAAGAAGTTTTTTCTTCAAACATTAACAGAAGTTTCTTATTCAAACATGAACAGGAGTTTCTTATTTAAACATGAACTGGAGTTTCTTATTCAAACATGAACTGGAGTTTCGTATTCAAACATGAAAAGGAGTTTTTCTTCAAACATTAACAGAAGTTTCTTATTCAAACATGAACAGGAGTTTCTTATTTAAACATGAACTGGAGTTTCTTATTTAAACATGAACAGAAGTTTTTTATTCAAACATGAACAGAAGTTTCTTATTCAACCATGAACTGGAGTTTCTTATTCAAACATGAACAGAAGTTTCTTATTCAACCATGAACTGGAGTTTCTTATTCAAACATGAACAGAAGTTTCTAATTCAAACATTAACTGGAGTTTCTTATTCAAACATGAAAAAGAGTTTCTTATTTAAACATGAACTGGAGTTTCGTATTCAAACATGAAAAGGAGTTTTTTCTTCAAACATTAACAGAAGTTTTGTGTTCAAACATGAACTGGAGTTTCGTATTCAAACATGAACATGAGTTTCTTATTTAAACATGAACTGGAGTTTCGTATTTAACCATGAACAGGAGTTTCTTATTTAAACATGAACTGGAGTTTCGTATTCAAACATGAAAAATAAATAACTTGGGAGAAAAACTTGCAGACCATATTTTAGAAATCCCAGAATTTATTGTTCGGAAATGTATGTTGCTAGTGTCATTTTTTCAAAGATTTACGAATTGAAATTTTTGGCACAGTCAACTTTTAAAAAAATGGTATTAAAAAGAAATTAAAGTAGATATTTTTTTAATTATTACTAACATGAAGGAGAAAACGAAAATGCAACTGATTTTCTGAAAGGCGGAGAGGATGTCAGGGGATGATTATATATTTATAATGATTATAATATAATAAATAATGAATTATAAATTAATCCAATAATTGAAATCGGTCGAAAAAAATTGTAAATAAAATCTCAGAGTTTTCCGAAAAAGACTATCACTGTTTGAACTTTTCCCTGCTTTTCGTTTCTAAAAAAAACTACTGAATCCAATACAATGGACTGATATAGTTTATTGATATCTTACAGTGAGTCTTAACATGATAAAAGTCGGCGCCAAATAGAATTGATATGGGATCAGATCAGAGGCAAAATTTAAGAAAGATTATTGTCATAAATGCGTTAAGACAATTTGTAGATATAGATTTTTTGTTTTTAATTTTTATTACATTTCTTTTCATCTTCTAATTCTTTAATTGATATCTACACAAATATCAAGACCCTAAAAGTATATATACTCTCTTAATACCGGACTAAGGAGTTTATCCGAACAGTTGGTGCGCTGAAGGTGTCCGCAAATAATTCATAATTTTAAAAAATGGCGCACTTGATGAGCGCGGTAACTTTTCCCGTTGCACTACATACTGTGAGTAATTCCTGAAAATTTTAGGTCGACACCTCTTAAAGTTTTAAAACTACTAAAGAAATTTTAAAAAAGGCGTGAATTTATGATGTTACATGTCAATTTCTTCGTTTTAATCTGAGAACTTGGATCCGTTGAAATTTTTGAAAAAAAAATATTAAAAATAAATTAGTTTATAGGTCCAAAAAACGTCTATAATGCTCATTTTTTAGAAAAGTACATTTTTATTGCTTTTTACATAATTCCGTCAATTTTTGATTTTTTTAGAAATTTCAATGGATTACATCTTTCTGGACAATTATGAAGAAAATGGTATACGACATGATAAATTCAAGAAATTTTTTTTTTGAGCTGTTAAGGTCTTTTCCAAACTTTAGCAGCGATTATATCCTAGAGTTTTAGAGATATAGAGCTAAAATTTTAGATTAGTTCTCAAGGTACACATTGGAATGGGAAAAGCTACTGCGCGCAAAAGTTGGTCATCCGTGGGCACCTTGCTGTACACTTGTTTAATGGTAAATTATGATTTGTTATCCATCTAATTTGTATGAAAACCAAATATTTTTAGACAAATAAAATAATAATGAAGGTATTTGGAAAGATTTAAGCCTATGGAGAGAGGGAAAGGATAACATTTTTTAAGGATTATTTTGTGAAAAAAGATAATTGGGACTTATACTTCTGTTACAAAAAGAGAGATTAAAGAAAGTTTTAGATAATAATTAGTTCCAGAGGTTTAACCTGTACCCTGTAGTAAATTCGGGTCTATTTTCATAAATTTCAGGAAACTAAGCGAATGAATGAAGGAAAAGAAACGAAAATATTTTTTAGTTAACTAAAAATAGACAAATTATTTACGAATCCGTTTACTTTTGTTTGACCAAAATATGTTTGAGAAAAAATCTTCTAAATGCTACTGTTTTCCAGTTTATTTTTTATTTTTTTAATCTATATCTTGAAACGACTAAAATTTGACGTAAAAATCAAAATTCAGTAGAATAGGAAAGCGGCTGTTACACTCAAGTTATGGTTATAGTTCAATATAACATGAAAAACAGAAATTATGAAGTTTAAAATAACCCATTTCACTAAAGGGACTATGTCTTTGCCACAAACTCAAATTTTCTATTCACTATATGTTTGCAACCTAGTAGTGTAAATTATGTTTATAAAATGGGGATTGGAAAATTGGTACAATCTTTCACTTAGCCTTTTGTTCTGTAACAGCAAGGAATGGGAGGATATGTTTTGTCCTGTAACAGCAAGGGATGGGAGGTAATGTTTTGTCCTGTAACAGCAAGGGATGGGAGGATATGTTTTGAGGTCTCTTCTTAACATTCAAGGTTTTAAGACTATTTAACGTCAACACAAGAATTTGAGATTTTTATCCTATTTTAAACTTTAATGCTTAAAAAGGTTTCCTTCATTACAGTATGTGCTCTGACAAAAGAACTGAACGACACAATTTTCTAAACGTTTTAGGTCATTTCTTTGTCCGGGGAGAAAATTTTGCATTGTGTGATATAACCAAACTTAAAGAAAATCCAAATTTGCTATACGTCAAAAAAATGTCGGATTTTTTAAAGCACCGGTTTTTAAAGCCCGAAAACGTTGAATGTTTTAAAACGGACTTCAAACTATGCGAAAACCAAACCTAAAAATCTTGGAATATTATTTTATTAAGAACTGGTTTTAACAGATATTGTAGCTTCACAGTGTATGGAAGAATAAATTGCTGTTGCAATTAAAAATAAATTGATTAATCTGAATAATATATACCTTCTACAGCTTTAAGCTCGATCTCATTTTAAAAAGATTCTTATAGATTTGGCATTTCATCATTTCTACAAAGATTTTCCTTATCTAGATGATAGTTTTTATATTCAAGCGAAAATGATTTTCAATTCTTTAGAATTTGGAAAAATTCTGTCTTTAATGAATCATAGACATAAGTAAAATCTCTGCATTTCGACAACTTATTAATTTTTTATTTGGAAATCTAAAGAAAACGAAAAGTTGTTAAAAATCAAGGAAAACCATTAATGATTTGAAGCAAATGAGTCTGCACTGGGTTCCTTAGCACTTTTTTATTCATATTTAGTCGTCTTTTATATTTAATGTACAGTCTTATTACCAAAACCCAGTGAATTTCTTTTAGTCGTCTGATAATAAAGGAATTGAGTCTTTGGAACAAAATCAAATATTTAAAGCTCAATATATACTCGATCTGGTAAACCTTTGATATTTCAAACTCAGATTATTTGATCTAACAGAATTCATACATAGTTTGAAATATCTAAGGTCTGCAACATTTGGTTCTAAAGATATGGTAATAAGAAAATCAGAGTTTGTGGACTCAATTCCTTTGATATTAGCAAAGAACTGCCCTCAGCATGTTCAGAAATATATATTAGCTAGTTGTAAACAACATTTACAGATTACAAATCCTTGGCGACATACATACAGGGTGTCCCACGAAACATGACAGTTGGTGAATAGTTTAGAATGTCTTTTTCCAGAATTTGTTAAGTTGTTTGATACCAAAGATCAATAAAAATATTATATGGGAGTCATGTTATATTAAACTTGATTTCAAAGTAAAAGATAATGAAGCAAAAGATTTTTTGACTAAAAATAACGATTTATTAAATGTCATGCTTCGTGGGACACCCTGTATTTTACGTAAAAATAAGAACAAAGATGACATTAAATAACATTTTCTGGTTCTTACGGTATGCCGGATATCCTACCTTCATACCCCATAAATGGATGTGTACCTAGATTTACTGAATTACTTAGTTGGGTTCGAAACAAGAAACATTTATGCTCATTATCAAATGTGTAGGAGGAGAGGAGAAGGGGGGAGAATATCACCGTTTACAAGGGGTTTAGCGTTTAAAAATCTTAAAGCCTATACCCCCTTTCATTTTTCCTTTGCAGTCCCTTTAAGTAAAACTTTGCCCTATGAAGACGATATTCATACAATCTTGTGTGTTCTTATGATGTTTTAAAGCGAATACTTGTGCCAGTAACTGAACAATCAAATTATTAAGTGATATGTGTGTATGTACGTGTTCACTTAAAGCTGGCCGCTTTTAACGAGGAACGATTGTTTTACAACTAACGAAAGGGATTTCCAGTTAACGACCACATTGTTAAAGAACGCAGCAAATAGACTATAAAGTACCTGATAATCTATTTAGAACCCAGATTTAATTTTAATGGCATTTGGTTTTTAATTTTGTAACCCATGGCCGTGTGTGTTGACACAAGAAAATTTATTTAAATAACAAGCTGGAATTTAAACATCTCTACCGGAGTAAAAAAAAACATACCTATAAACACTATTTCTAACTTCTTGACTGAATATTATATTAGGGGGAGAAGTATGTATTTTTAAAGTATCAAAAAAATAAAATAAAAGCAGACGTTAATTGCGTAAAGAGTATCAGTAAAATCTTTCGTCCTTAAAACACAACCAGCTTTCACTTATGTATAACTTATCTGTTTATTTCAAGCTAGATTAGATGTTTGAGTCCGGAGGCCGAATTTAAACAATTTGAGCCGCGGCTTAAATCCGCCAAAACCCGGTTTAAATTAAGCGCCGGCTTAAATTTGAAACATTTGATACAATTTTAAGTGGAACCAACCATCTTTAAGCCGCGGCTCAAATTCTTTAAATTCGGCCTCGGGTGAAACTTTTGAGCCACTTTTTAACGAAAATGCTTAAATCCACCTTGCATCAGTTCTGAAGTTTTCTTTGATACATTCTAAAAAAAGATTTAAACTTTTTTTTTATAATGTTTAAATTCTTTCAGATTGTAAGTGACATCAATAATTTTTTTTAATGTCATTGTGCTGTTTTAAATCATAAATAATAAATCAATAATAAATCTAAACAGTCAGTTTCTATTCCATAGTGGTCTTGCGCTAACTATTAAAACTTTAAAATTTTTAATGTCAGTATATTGAGTTTTATTGAATAAAGCTAAGTTCTATTTCGGAAACGTTAATAAGAATTTTAAAGTTTAAGTTTAATTTCAGAAAATTTTAGAATGACGTAGAATCAGATCTGAAAAGAAACTCGGTGTACATTGTACATCTGTACAGGGTACAACTATAATTTTATACCGTACATGCTGGATTTCCACTACTACCTGTTCTGTGATTTCCACAAAGAATTAGACTTTATTGACGACCTAAAACTTGATTGAAAAGGTTTCGAAGAGTAACCGATCCATCCATCATTATTTACGTGGCTGGCGACAAATATCTAAACTAAATAAAGTAAATGTCTGGATATCATCGATCGTACACGCTAGTCAATAAACGTTGTAATGACAGCAAGGTTATATAATAAGGTTGGTTACTCTCGATGCGCTCAAATGTATAACGGAAAATGTCGTCTCGAGAGTACCGTAACTTGTACAACCTTGGATGACAGTGACAAAACAGAAAAGATACTAATTTTGATTTCTTAACCTGTGAAAAATTTAGAATAATTTAGAATAATTGACACAAAAATTATAAAAAAAACAGGGCGTAAACAGGATTAAGTTTATTATTAAGTTTGATTAAGTATGATTAAGTTTATCAAACATAAATAGTCAAAATAAATTCTGGCATGGGATTTTCCCCATGTATACGCCTCTGAGAATGCTTTTTCTCAAATAAAAATGGTTGTCCCGTTATCAAAGGAGTTTTAACCGATTTTTAGATAATCAAAAACCAACATTAAAATTGATCTATTTAAGAAGAATGATAAAAATCATATTTGTACAATATATACAGAACATTTGTACATAGCATGCCAAACTGTACAGACGAACCACGCAATGACAGAGAAATTACGGAGTTCTGCAAATTTTGGATTGAGGTAATTTATTTTTTTCAATGGAAATATCAATTAACATCCAGAGCAGGATCCATTAAAGTCAAAATAAAAAAAGTATATGGAAAAAGTCTTAAGTTCTATGACCAAACATGCCCTGAGAGTTTTAGGGAGTTTTTGTAATTTTAATCTGCTATTTAGGGAGTTATTGTGGTTATAATCTGTTATTTAGGGAGTTATTGTAGTTATAATCTGTTATGTAGGGAGTTATTGTAGTTCTGTCTTTTATTTAGTGAGTTTTTTTAGTTCTAATATATTTTTAGGGAGTCATTGTAGTTCTAATCTAATATTTAGGGAGTTATTGTAGTTCTGATCTGTTATTTAGGGAGTTTTTGTAGTTCTAATCAATTTTTTAGGGAGTCATTGTACTTCTAATCTGTTATTTAGGGAGTTATTGTAGTTCTAATCTGTTATTTAGGGAGTTATTGTAGTTCTAATCTGTTATTGAGGGAGTTTTTGTAGTTCTAATCTATTTTTTAGGGAGTCATTGTAGTTCTAATCTGTTATTTAGGGAGTCATTGTAGTTCTAATCTGTTATCTAGGGAGTTTTTGTAGTTCTAATCTGTTATCTAGGGAGTTATTTTAATCCTAAACTGTTTTTTAGGGAGTTATTGTAGTTCTAATCTATTTTTAGGGAGTCATTGTAGTTATAGTCTGTTATTTAGTGAGTTTTTGTAGTTCTAATCTATTTTTTAGGGAGTTATTGTAGTTCTAATCTGTTATTTAGGTAGTTATTGTAGTTCTAATCTATTTTTTAGGGAGTCATTGTAGTTCTAATCGCTCTATTTGGTCTCCTAGCTAATTCAGTTTCTCTCTACATTCTCTCAAAGGTATAATAAGTATCTAATTTATAATTCATTCCGTGTTATTTTAAGAAAGAGAAAAAGAGAGAAATATAACATCGTTAGGGCAAACAAACTAATTATATATTGATAAGAACCTACACTTCTGTTCAAATATAATCTAGACTGTAATCTGAATTAAAAAGTTTAAAATACATCAAAATTAATTTTAAATATTTACAATACAAATAAATTTTATCAAAAAATGTGAAGTACAATACAGGGTGTCCCATGAAACTTGACAGTTGAGAAACTATTTAAAGGTCGTCTTTCATCCTTGAAATAATTTGCAGCATTCTTTCGTAAAATTCTTGAACTAATAATTACAAAATATCTCTTGTCATGGCATTTCCCAAATTCTTTATAATTGGTGCTATAGTTTTACCATACGGTTTCTAAACGTGAAAAAGGAGCAGCCAGAAACAGCAATATAAAATAATATTTAGGGAAAGAAAAAAAAAGTAATTTTAAAAGTTTCTTCTCGGCAATTTTGGTTTTAATAAATTAGCAGAAAATAGCAGGGCTTACATTTTCAGTTTGAATCATCATTTTCCCGAGTAAAATAAAAAAATTCAGAATATTTAATTTTGAAATATGTTAAACTTCTCGGGTTTTCGGAATCCTCTTGAAGGCTAGCATAAACTTAAAGGAATTTAACAAAACGGGAGAGAACATTATCTGTTCCCCAAATACAAAAGATTGAGAACTTATTTCATTAGTTGCCGAAGAATACATTCAATCAGCTGTTGATTGCGCTTGTTTCCGTGGATTCTCTGATTGTCGTCTTCGCTACAATTGACACGAGGTAACTAACCTATTTTTAATTGTTATCACAATTCTCACAATAATCCAGCCACACTAATTTAACTGTTCGGTACTTGACTTACAATTAAACTATTAATGAACATAACTTTTTCTTACCTTCAATTACTTCTTAAAAACTAAAGTGTCTTGTAGCTTAAAAATGTAAATGTCTAGGGTTTCAAAAACTATGAAGGAGTTATAATCAAAAATCAAAATCAAGGCGTTGCGACACTTTAAAGTTGGCCTAGTCTTGAAAAGAAGAGCAGCTTTTCATATCAGTCTGGACCTACAGGGTTACCCACAAAGGATGAGACTGTGAAGACGACCCAAAACTCTAAAAATATGACGATTTGAAGCTTGAATTTTGGTTTTTGCATTCAATTGAGAATTTTTGTGATTTAATAAATGGTTAAGCACAGAAATAAGCCATTTTTGGCCTACAAGGAACCCTGAATGTAAGAAAATTGAATAAACAGCAATTCCGTACAATCGTCTCTGAAGTCTCATCCTTTGTGGTTAACCCTGTATGTTATCTAGCCATGATTAGTCCATGGTGCAGCCAAAGTTTGCATGTTTTCATATAAGTTTGATAACAAATTTTTCTTTAAAAAGTTTAAATGTATTTTAATGTGTATTTTTGTCAGGAATTTAGAAATAATCGATGACAGCAATGTGCATATGGAGCTCTCATCAGATACAAACATTCGATTTTTTTTCACTTTTTTTAGTTTGGTTCCTGTGTTTGAATGGCCTTTGCATCAAGACAATTGGTTTTACATCAGGTTTATTTAAAAAAAGTTTAATTATAAAGACGACAACAACAATAATCCGCGAAAACAATATATTTAATTGTGTTTACTCCAGCGCTGCTCGGTATTTGCTGTATCCTGGGAACAACATTCTTCTCTGCTTTGGGATTTATCTAACTGTTGCTATTGCAGTAGAAAGGTGATATTTTGATGTAAGATACTTTTCCAAAGGATTTTTCCCTAGAGGCAACTTCCCTAGGGTATTTTCTCAAATGGTAAATTCCCAAATTTGCCATTTCCCAAGCAGCAACTTCCCAAGTTTGTCCTTGCCGCGGCACTCGGCTCCAGCCTGTGCTAGCCGCGGCGCTCGGCCCCTGGTCCATCCTAGCCGCAGAGCTCGGCCCCAATTGCAGCCTGGGGCGCCTCAGAGGGCCAACATAACCTTTGGGAAGTTGCCGCTTGGGAAATTGCACATTTGGGAATGTACCTAACACCGATATTTTCTACTTTCATCTTACAAATAACATATATACAGAGATACCCACAAAGAATGCTTCAGAAACGACTGTCCGGAATTGTCACTGTCTGTTTCCTTATTTACATGATTCCCTGTAAACTTGTTTCTTTCTTTGCTAAATCATTAAATAAGCCATTAAAATACCATATTCAAGACAGAAGACTTAATTTAACCATGGGATCGTTATGTTTTAAAAGTTCTAGGTCGTCTTTACAGTCTCATCCTTTGTGAGTAGCCCTGTATAGATATATACAGATACACACATACAAATATATATATATATGTATATATATATATTTAAGAAAATCTCGAATTTACCCTACTATGTTTGTAAGATACATGAAACATAATGCTGATTAAAAATATTGCAAAGATTTGGAAAAAATATTAAATAAATATGAAATGTACATTTCACATTTGCTATTGCAGGTTTACAATATATTCTTAGGATTACAGATAGAGGGTATTATGAAGAGTATTTTTAATAAATATTTTTTTGAGTAATGAATAAAAATAAAAATACATAAATTACAAAATACAACAACCTCTCTTGTAATTATGGTAATCTGTGTGTTACAATAACAACCTTAATCATCGCAGAACATTGTAGTATGCAAGTACACAGTATACATACAGATTATAAATATATGTTTTAGATTCATAAATGTTTACTGCTTTTTACAAACACGTCCTAATCAATAAAGATGCAATGTATGTTTGTTACACTTTTGTGCATCCTCAAATGTGCATCTTTAATATTACATTCCCAATGTGCGCCATAAATGTGTTTCCTGAATATTTGCGTCTTTAATAGCGCGTCCTCAATTGTGCTTCTTTAATTTGCGTCATATATGTGCGTCCTCATTGAACGACCTAAATATGAGTCCCCAATCTTCGACCAAAATTGGCGTCCTTAAAGTTCCTCCACACAGTTAATACTTTATCATAAGTCCCTCCTGATGGCAAAAGAAAATGTTGCTGCACCAATATAAGGGAAACATAGAGGCCTCGTATTTATAAATATCTATATATGTATAAAGTAGCAATCTCTGTTTGTCTGTTTGTATGTCCGATCATAACTCATGAATCCCTGGACCGATTTGCCTCAAATTTTGATTGGGGGAACTCGAGAGAACCATAGAAATGTTCTTAGCTTGGTTTTGCATTACTATGTGAGCAAACTTTTATCGGGAAAAAAGCGAAAATCGTAATTAACGACTAAGGAAATGGTGCGGGGAGTAACTATGAGCACCCTGGGCAACGCTGGGTTCTCAAGCTGGTAGTAAATATATGTATTTGTTTTTAAGTATATGTATTAAATATTTTTTTATAAAGGATGTTTTTATTAGATATTTTGCTGTATGTTGTCCTGTTACCTATAGGGAGATACAGCTAACATACTCCACCTTTGCCAGGTATACAGGGGGATATAGCTAACATACTCCACCTTTGCCAGGTATACAGGGGATATAGCTAACATACTCCACCTTTGCCAGGTATACATGGGGATATAGCTAACATACTCCACCTTTGCCAGGTATACAGGGGATATAGCTAACATACTTCACCTTTGCCAGGTATACATGGGGATATAGCTAACTTACTTCACCTTTGGGATATAGCTAACATACTTCACCATGCCTGGTATACAGGGGGATATAGCTAACATACTTCACCTTTGCCAGGTATACATGGGGATATAGCTAACATACTCCACCTATGCCTGGTATACATTCAAGGTTAACATATACCGTACATTGGAGCGCATCGAGCTAGGCTAACCTTTTCGGTCATGGTTTGAACTGTCCCGCCTAATCATTCATGCTACTCCATAATTGAATTTACATTCACTAAAGCGGTAGTCTATCCGTAGCAAAAATCTGGTAAACCTGATATTCTGTAAACTTGAACTTAGACATAATGAGATTATTCATTGAAACTGCGTTTCATTTGAATACTTAACATGATTAGCTCAAATCATGTGATATACTTAAATAACGTTATAAAATATGGGCAGAAAAGATTAACTGCGTTATATCTTTTCTCTTTAATCCTTTAAATATCTACCTTAAACTTTAATATGTGCGATAAATACATAACACGATGGTATTAATCATGTGATATCAATAACATCGTAGGAATTTAATCACGTCAATTCCTGTTAAATTTGTAACCTAAGCTATAAGATAAAGCTAGTTGAATAAGACTCTGCCTTGATTACGTTATTAGAAGTAGTCTGTGTTCCCGTTGAAACATACAAGTGTAGATATTGCGTGGAGATTGACAATTGAATCAAATATAGCTTAAGAGATAGCTTGTGATCTCATTGAATTATACGCATAGAGACTAGAATATATAGAGAGGAATTTACTGGAAAAAAGTGTAAAACGGCCATTTTGTTGTACTGTTTCCATACTGCAGGTGTACTTCACATATTTATGCTATATGGCTGGTTTCATAACTGACCAATGATCATTTCACATAGACTCTATGCCTTCCACTTTACAAACGATGATTTTCCGTTATAACTATAAATCAAATGATGTTTTTATTCACCTAATTCATTATAAAGTTTATTTAACAGTTTAAAAAATTCGAAATTGAAATTGATAGTCTAGGGAACATACTGTATTAATGTACTCTACTGCATATAATTTGTGAACATTTACATGATTTGTACACTTTGAACTCCCTTTCAGGCTGAAAGGGACTGAAAAAATTCATACCGAGAGATTCTTTTAATTCCTCTCTATATATTCTATTCTCTATGATTATACGCTTGGAGATTGTGCCTTAAGTATTAGCATTGAATCGAATATATCTTAAAAGATAGCTTGTGATCATGTTGAATTATACGAGTGGAGATCTTTCCTGGGTTATTGGCAATCTGATTGAATGTAGCTTGAAAGATAGCTTGGGTCTTCATTGAATAATTTATGAGTTTATATTTGGACTGTGTGTCCTTCAGAACCAGGGAGTTAAGCCTGGTTAAGAAATTGCCTGTGTAGCAATTTCAATAGCCTATGTGGCTTTTATGACTAAAAAGTTAAGCCTGGTTGAGCTTTGGGACTGTGTGTCCTTTGAAACTGCAGAGAGTTAAGCCTGGTTGAGATATTGCCTTGTGACATTCAGAAATGAAGACATAGTCCTGGTTGATTTTGGTAAAGATTAGACCTGGATAGATATGGAGTTATGGAGTAGGTATTTGCTACAAAACTGGCGGCAGCGGCGTGAATCAGATCAAAGAACCCAGAGTAATACTAAAAGACTGCAAGGAACAATGAAGCAACAAGTTGTGTATAGTGTCTCAGAGTGTAATAACAGACAGTTTTAAATTGTACTCTAAAGAACACAGTAAAGAACCAGACATCAGAATATTAAAAACGAAGGACACCGAAAAAACGGGTTAAAGCGGTCGATGCAAGAAACTGTAAGCCCTGAGGCAGAGATCGGAATAAGAACTTCAAATCAAGGAAATGAAAGCCCTGAAACAAGATTTCACGATAATAGAAAAGGTTTCAGGAATGAAGAGAATGTTGGATCTGGATAAGAAGATAGATGAAACACAAGAATACATTGAGTATCTATAGGGTGTCAGGGAGTATATAGAAGATATAAACCCGAAGAAGTCCGCTGATGAAAAACTAAGCAAAGAGAAGGCTAGTCATTACGAAGCTGAACACCTGAGTACGGACATGTACAAAAAAGTAAAATAAGAGCTAAACATTTAAAATTCAGTGATGGTGATGGACCAAACCTCTGTAGAGTAAAAAAGTAGATGTTAGTTCCACATTTATTGAAAATATATTTCGGTCTGGGTTGACCCTCGTCAGTTCTAACGATATAATAACCATCAAAATCGATAAAAAAAAAAAATTTTAAAAATGTAAAAATCACAAGAATATAAACAAACAAAAAGATTATTCAAAATAAAAATTTGGGCTGTCAAATGGACATAAGGGAAAAGAACTCAGATTATGAGATGGAAAAAAGATAATTTGCAAATATTCACTTTCTAAAAAAATCTTTTTAGACAATTATTATTCCTTGAGATTGTTTCTTCACAAAGATTAAAAACAAACTGTGTAGATGTGTGAATATTGAGTTGGGGTGGGGGTCGATCTAATTAACGAACTTTTCCGTGAGTCGGGGGAGGGGGAGGGGGGGAACGGCTTGTTTAAGGAGGGGTATTTAAAACCTTTTAAAGAATTGGACATAAAAAACTCTTTTTTTAAAAGAGCTAAACAAACATGAAGACAGTATTTATTATAGAGAGAATACAGAGTTTTGTTGAGAATGCTCCCAAATATAATGGAAACCCGGAGAAAATGTTCGAATGGTGCAAGAGTTTGGAAACAAGATTAACTACAAATGGGAAACAATCCCAGATAAAGACGTGAGAAGGATCCTGTATTTCTGCTTCACAGGGTCAGCTAGAGAAGAGATAGGGCGGTATGCTACATTGAAGAACAATGGAGTTGGAGAATTTTTTGGAGAAATGTTGAGAAGGGTCTCACCAGCTTTGAATAAATGAGGAAAAGCTAGTTACAAGAAAATGGTGAACAACTAGACAAGGAACAGAGAGAAGAGGAGGAGACCAGAAGAGCTCATGCAGACAAGAGAGAAAGAGAAAACAAGAACTCCAACGAATCAATGGTAACAAGGAAACAAGATTTTAAGCAATTACGAATATTGCTGATAAAGAAACGTGAAGCAATGGAGATAGAGGTATGAGCTCTGAGGGAGGTAATGAAAGCACTACAGAAAGAAATAGAAGAAGAAAATATCTAGACAATGTGAAACCAGGAAGCCAGGATACTATTGCAGAAATAGATTGTTCCATAGAGAAGAGTACGAAGACATTTATCCATGAAAACCTTGAGACAGATGGCAACACAGATAGTTCTGGGAAGACAGGAAACAGCAAGAGTATCCTAGAATTTGAGGAAGTTAAGCAAATGGCGGAAATGACGAAATTCATAACGCATATTGATGAAGAGTCGGACAAATGACGAAAGGGTAAAACAACAAGAAAAGTCAAAACAAGAAGTGGATCCTATTCCGAAAGTCGGAGCAAAAGTAACGGAAGACGGAAACTAGGAAGAAACCGTGCTACCAGAGAAGAAAGAAAAGAAAAAAATGAGAACTCCGGCAAATCAAGGTTGTCAGAAAAGCAGGATTCAAGTCAGGAACTGTTACTGCTGGAAGAGAATATAGGGGTATCAGGCAACAAACAAACCGGGGAACCAGAGAAACCCCGGAAAGTTTAAATAAAACATTAACCAAAACAACAGATAAGATACAGAAACCAGCAGTAGATTGCACGTTGATGATGAAGAAAATTGAGAAAATGGAGAAAGATAATCAATCCGTGGATGCGAACATTGAAGTAATGCAGGAATTCAAACAAGCCATAGAAAAAATATTTGAGGAGTAAAAACTCAAAGCAATACGGAAAGACAGAAAGAAAGAACCCCTAAAGAACCCAGGACTGTGTTTCGCAGTCTGAAAACGACCCGCAAGACACCAAAAACGGGCGCCGGCTGGACTTCATATCAGTACTAAAGAAGCAAGTCGTTTTTAGACCGTTAAGACAATGAATCCGTCCCTGCTCAAAACGAATGGTATCGTGTTACATTCCCAGCAGGGGGCCCTTATATCGCAAGGGTAGATTATTCAGATCCAGAAGAGAAAGCAACAGAAATAGCTAAGCAATCGAATAATGAAATACCCAATGTGAAAGAAAACGGCTGGACTCAAGATCAGGAGAACCGACAAGATTCAGAACAAGAAAGTTATGTGGAGACAGAAACGTTAAGTATCAAAACAAAAAACCCAGTATACTGCACTCTCATTGGCTGAGTTCTGGTGACGTATTACGGACTTATAAATAATATTATCAATTATATATATTAAACATAAAAATAAAAATTATAAACAAAGAGAATAGATTATACATAGAGTGTAATTTAAACAATCCCTTGGTATGAATTTTGACAGTCCCTTTCAGCCTGATACAAAAGTGTACAATTCATGTAAATTTTCACAAATTATACGCAGTATGAACTCTGGACATATCCATTACAATTTATTTGTTTTATAAAGTTGTTAAACTTTAAACGTGTGTATTCGCTAAAGGTGAATTAAAATCATTTTTTTATTAACCATTAAAATGTAAAATCGTCGTTTGTAAAGTAATCTTAATCTTTTTTGCTTCAGACTCTTTTGTATACTGCAATTAATATCTTGTTTTAAAGGGAATGACCGGCTATGTAAGGTAATTGAACTGAGTATGCAGTGTTGTCAAAACTTCTTTAGGATTCATTTGAGACATATTTCACTTTTTAAAGATCTGTAAATCCTGAGTTTGAGCGAAAATTCGACGTTCAAAACTCCTGATTTGGGGGTGGAAACGCTTTCAGAATTAGTTTTTTTTTTAATTATTAAATAACGACAACGAAAAATAAAGAAAAAATTATACAGTAATCTAATTAGATGGCTAGGAACATATTTCACAAAAGAAATTTGTCAATAAATCAATGCTAAAATCGATTATTTCGTTTTCCTTATTATATTGAATTTCTAATTTTCTATGAATTTATTCGCAGATTTCTTCAAATACTTTAAATGTCGTCTTTTCAATAATAATTACAGAAAATCTGCGAAAATCTTTGTGAATAATGAGAAACTAGAATAATGAGAAAATAGAAACTAATAATTGAACAAGATTACTTATTTTCGATGATAAGATTAATTTTTATTTCTCAAAATGTTCCTAAACATGACGTCTGTAGTTTATTGTAGAATATTTTTACATTTTATGTTGTCGTTAATTAATAATTTTAAAAAAACTAATTCTGAAAGCGTATCCAACCCCAAATCAGGAGTTTTTCAACGTCGAATTTGCTCTCAAACTCAGGATTTACAGACTTTTAAAAAGTGAAATATGTCTCAAATGAATCTTAAAGAAGTTTTCCACAACACTGCATACTCAGTTCAACTACCTTACATAGCCGGTCACTCCCTTTAAATTAATTTTCCTATTTCATAAAGGGAGGCTTTTAGGGCCCTTCGGGCCCATAGCTCCTATTTTAATTGTGAACATTTTCTCTTTGTATATCACTGTAAAACAAAAAAACAAAAATAATAAGGGTTTCAATTTTTACAACAAATATTTTTCTCAAAATTTGGATGATTTTTGTAAATCAATGCAGAACACATACTAGCTGTCCCAAAAAGCAAAACAATTAGGAGACAACCAGGGGATTCTAGGATTAAGCCAGGAGGGAGGGGGGAATAACATTTTTTTCACTCCCCTTCCCTCCTTGTTAGGGATTCAGAAAATGATGATATTTTCCTCATTGTTACTCAGATATCGAGCTAGGTTGATGAACCAGTGAAGCAAAAAATTTCAGATTTGAAAATATCAAAAAGTTTTTTTTTCAAATCCAATCACATAGCAAAAAATGCAAAACTTCCCTGCAAGATTTATGCAATATGCTTTCTTTTGTCAAAGGCAATTTAGATAGATATTTTGTCTGCAGTTTTGCAATATTTTTTCTTTCCATTGTGAGCTAGCTATTACAAATAGTAATACATTATTCTTACTTCAAGAAAAATGGCATCAAGAATAAAAATGCCATTTAAAGCTCATAAAAGCCATTTTAGGCTAAAATCTTGACGTTCAAACTGAACCCTCGGCCTTACTTTTTTTATCGAGAAACTATAATGTGTAATGAGTCGTTAATTTCGACCTTTTCTAAGGTTTTCTGGTCCAAAAAAATGCCCCCCCCCTTACCTGAAAATTCCAAGCTACCTGCGTGCCAAAACAAAAGTATTATCTTTATTTAACTAAACAATTTTTATTTATTAAGTGTTTCACAGGTAAAATGTTTTTAATCCATTCTTAAAATAGAATTTAAGTATCTTGACTTTCTACATATAGAAGCTTTCCGCAATTTTCTAGGGTTGAATTCCTCCCTTTCCGCCTGCCCCTTAGCTGTCTCAGAGCCGTTTTACTTTCTAACAAGGCTTAAAACTTAGTAAACATAAATTAGATTGGTTAAATGTTTTCCTTCCATTTCACAGTTTTATGAGTCCCACTGTATAAAAGTTATGAAATTGAAATTAAAGAGTTAATAACCATTTATTTACCTTCCTCATCCTCAATTTTAATATTTTGGTATCTTGAGTATTTCTAAAATATTGGTTTTTACTTTTTGATTACCTCAAATAAAAAAATATATTTTTTACTGAATAAAAACATCAAATTGATTATTATTGAAGCTTATACTGAAATGAACTCGGGAATGCATGACAAGCTATCAGAGAATTGATTTAGAGAAAATCAAATAATTTTCAAGAAAACTTTTCTATAAAATAATGTTCCAGGGCCCAAAAGGTTATATAGAACAAATATGTGGAGTACACCTGCAGTATGGAAACAGTCCAACAAAATGGCCGTTTTACACTTTTTTTGAGTAAATTCCACTCTATTTATAATCTATTCTCTTTGATTATAAAATAATAATTGGAGAAAACCTAAGTTACAATTAGATTTCTCTGGGATATCTTCGTTTTCAGATTGGGTGCATATTTGCTATGTATGATATGTCTAAACCTTATATTTCTATATATATAAATATATGAATTTTCGTTTCATTTAACACAGTTTTATAAATATTTCGCGAGACAGGAACATCAGATATAAATTTCAAAGGTCGCAATCAAGAGCTAATGTGATTAGCTTTCAGCCTATACTCTCTTTCATTTTTCCTTTACAGTTCCTTGAAAAGAGATTAGTTTGTTACTTTACTTCCTGCTTCCTATTTTTGTAAGTTTAAATCTAAAAATGGAGAAAAAGAAACGGAAAATTATCATTCAAAAAAACATAAATATATTTTTTGCTCAGACAAATGTGTACAGGGTATTGTTGTAAATTGGGCTTGTACCTTTATAAATGGAGCGTCACTTTAAATAACGTCGACAGTTCCTTTAAATAACGTCGACAGTTCCTTTAAATAACGCTGGACTAGTAACATTACGGCAGACTAACCAATGATATGTTTATTACCCGTTCCTTATTTGAATTTAATTATAGAATTTGTTGGTATGTTGGACCTTCAGCTCTACTTGGCATACTGGTTAATATTCCAAGGTTAATATATTCAAGGGGGATTAGACTCAATATATACAAAGGATTATACACAATATGTTCATGGGATTGTTTATCTATTTTTAAACATTTTTAATCAAAAGCCCTGTTTCTGTATAAGGAGGGGTAATATATTAGAATCATGGAGCAAAGAAGTTTCCTTTAAAGTTCTTTTATAGAATTAATAAAATATTTTTTTTGCTAAATCCAAAGCGATGAGATGTAAGGTGGGGATATAGAGTTTGCGTACATTTTTTTGTGATGCATTAAAACCGGTTTGGAACTGACTCAGAATACAATATTTAAAAAAGCTCCAAGTGGTCTTGATAATTCACAATTATATAACGCTGATTTAACAATTCGGTCCTTGTCCCAGCAAGCTGTGACTTTCGATCCTAATTTGACCTTTTAAAAAAAATTCGCCTTTATTCTGATATACTTTTTGCCGGTGAATGCGTTTAAAAAAGATATTTCTGTAAATTCCTAGATGGGTTTATATTATAAACAAAACTCAATTGAATTCCAGATAAATAAACCAAACGCATCTCGCCTTGGTTAGTTCAGGATGATCTGTGTTCACTACAAACCCTATCCCTTCATCGTTAGGTTTCTTACATTGTTCAAATCTTTTTCCTACTTTGATGAAACGCTTAGCAATGCTTTATCAATCTTTATCATTGTTTGATCAATTCCACATATTTGGCAAATCAAACTAAATGTATTGCTAGATCAAATATATTTTCTTGCTTAATCAAATCCATTTTATTGTTTGATCAAATTCATTCGTCAATCTCTGTGCATTATCGAAGGTTTAAACCATCAGGTAGCAAAGATATATGGATTCAAAAATTTGAGTTTGTGACAAAGGCTTAATTCCTTAACTAACGTCTGTTTAGATATTTTGAGACCGAGGTCCTTGATTTCCAAGGCAGAAATATGACGGCAGATGAAGATGGTAGGAGACTTTTTAAATTTGTTTAAAGGGACTGTTGGCGTAATTTAAAGTGACCCGCCATTTTACGAGGGCCATTTCCGATTCACAACGAATAAATAGAAAAATAAGTGCAAAAGTACAAAATTGTGTTTAAAAAAAAATTGTTTCTGGTATTTTCACAAGACATTAGGATCAGAGGCGTATTCAGGGGGGGGGGCTATGGGGGCTGGACCAGTGAAATCTATTGATTGCAGGGGGTTTTCAGGCCCCAACATGTGCTGAGCCCCTCCCCCTGGAAAGAAAATAATTTTAGCCCCCCCCCCCTGAACAATTTCCTGATCAGGATTCATTCATGAAACATAAAAAAAAATATTTGTTTAGATTTGGTTGTGTATAAAGATGAAGGAGCAGAAGTTGCTTTGATGCTCTCAAAAATTAGGAAAACATTGAATAAAATTCTTGGAAATTATATTTAATGAAGAGTTAATTAACATTAAGAATCTCTATAGTCTATATACTATTTAGACTATAGAGACTACAATGCGTTCTATGCTTAACACTTTAAAACAACACTGCACTCTACACTCTAAATTCTATACTCTACACTCTATACTCTACACTCTATAATATAATAATATTATTGATTTATATTACAACCTATATCTCTGTTTGTCTGTTTGTTTGTCAGATCATGACTCAGGAACCTTGGACCGATTTGCCTCAAATTTTGATTGGGAAGCTCGGAAGATCCACGGGAATGTTCTTAGCTTGGTTTTGAGATTCTAAGTTCAGTGGGAGGACTTAAATAACGAAAATTTAGTTTCCCCATAAAATCGTTCAAGTGCTGGTAAACGGCAGGAGTAACTTTTAGTAACCTGGGCAGCGCTGGATTCTCTAGCTTTGTTACATATTATAGATTGCATTTCCACAGGATAGCATTAGAACACAATATACATATCAAAATATACATTTAAATACATATGGGTGTGATTAAATATATAGAGGATATACCATGATTGAAAATAGTTAAACATATTTATGTATTTATGTAAATACATACATGGAAATATGTTTGTCTAGTTTAATTGTTTCCTTTAAAAAAACATATCGGAAAAAAGAATATTACATTATTACATGAATGAATATATGTATAAGCTGAAGGGCCCGGTGTTGCCTGTGGAAAAAAATTTTAGAATTTTTTTAGCCTATAACACCCCCCTGGCCACTTAAAAGTTTCCACAAAAAATTTCAGCCCAATCGGTCCAGCCATTTGGCCGGCTATACGCAATATATATATATATACGAATGTCTTGTTTTATTATATAGATTAGATAGATTATAAAGATTATATAGATTACTACCAAATATAGAAAATAATATCAAAACATTCCATATTTCAGAATTTTTTCCTTGAAGGTCATTTTTGAGATTTTTTTTTTGGATTTTCAATTTAACCACTTAAATTCCCATAAATATTACTGTTTTTTTTCGAAATTTCAACAGTTAGATTTTCTTTCTGTTTTTGTTTCAACTGATTGAAGATTGTTTCTGATTAACGCCGCCCCCCCCCCTTCTCTTCCCCCCTGGAAATGCTGAGGATACTGACTCTGAAAAGAGAAACCTTAACCTACCCTATCCTGGAATTTGTGCATTAAATAACTTTTTAATCTATAAATCCTTTAATTAATGTAATCCAGTGTATTTTAACCTATTTATTAAACATTCAACAATTTTTGGCATGCAGAGAAGGGTTTAAAAACTCAAATTTTACATATCACATAATAGTATTTTCTAAAAATTTAATATATTTTAACATATTTTCAAAAGGTTAATATATATACATTATGTTTTGTTTCATCTTCTGTAAAAGCAAACATAAAATATTCTAAATAGGTTAAACTTTTAAGTTTGTTCTAAGAAATCATTGATTTAAGGAAAATCTGAAAAAGCATCTATGTTATTAGCTCGAACGTGATCATCTATCCATATACAATATTTTTATTAATTTTTCCTTCATGGTTAAGATAAATTGATGATAAATAAGATTATTCTTCTTGTTATTTCTGGTAATACTTGGATATTAGAACATTCATCTTCATATTCATCAAATAAACTGAAAATAAAGATACATGTTTGCACAGTGCTTCCGCTGGATCTGTAAAATCTATGGTTTCCAGTTTTTCTTGGCCCCACGTGTGCTGAGCCCNAAATTCCTGAGTACGCCCCGGACACCAGGTATCCCAAAATTAATTTAATGGCCCCCAATACTATTAGAAATGCGTTTGCATGCTTCTGGACTCGTGAGGTTTTTTTCAGCGTCCAAAATATAGCAAAACAACAAAGATTATTAATTGGTATAGTCTAAAGCGCGTACATTGATATGCATGCAGCAAATCTGCATCAATTGATTTTTAAATTGTTACAATTAAACCTGACATCAACATTCAAAAAAATTATTTGATACTCAAAACTAAGCTTTTCCATAATCTATTTCTAGAAACACCTCTTCCAAGTCGAAATTGACTGACGAAATTTTCCCAACCCCTCTCCTGAGCCGCCACGATTCTAAGTTATAAATAAAAAAGCAATAGAGCCAAACTTTGTGTTGGATAGCTTTTAGTTTTAGCGACCTAACTCGATTTCCACATCATAAAACAATGGGGTTTAACACGCTTAATCAGGGAAAGTTATCCATATCTGACACCAATGCAGTATTTTATGTCCAGGGGGACTAAACCGTCTGAGAGTGAGCGGCAAAAAGTCACAGGATTAAGATTCAAAAGTTTCTCTTTCAGATGAAATAATTTTTGTATAGGTTGATCCTTACCGGTCTCATTCCCATGGTTCTCTTGACGTTTCTCAACTACAAGATTATACAGGTAAACAAGATCCTTAATAAACAAGATCATAAAGGTAAACAAAATCATTAATAAAAACAAGATCAAAAAGGTAAACAAGATCATTAATAAAAACAAGATCATAAAGGTAAACAAGATCATTATTAAAAACAAGATCAGAAAGGTAAATAAGATCATTAAGGTTAATAAGATCATAAAAGTAAACAAGATCATGAAGGTAAATAAGATCATAAAGGTAAATAAGATCATAAAAGTAAACAAGATCATAAAGGTAAACAAGATCATAAAGAAAATCGGAAGAAGGAATAGAAAAGCTGATAAAAAGAGGATGAAGATAAATAATATGGGAAAGGACAAAGATAAAGGAGATGAAAGAAGAAAAGGCCAGGAGAATGAGAAAGGAAAAAAAGGAATGGGGCAAAACAGTGTTGACAAAATTAAAAAAAACATTTTTGAATAAATTTTCTTAATTTCATTTTCAGGGTTTACGAAGTAGTCCAGCTGCCAGTAGACGAGCAGGAAGTGAGTCTAGGCAAGCCCTCACACTTGGTTAGTTATCTAAATTTTTTTATACAATAAAATTTGTACTTGGTTAGTTATCTAAATATTTATATAAACAATAATATTTGTACATGGTTATTTATCTAAATATTTATATACAATAATATTTGTACTTGGTTAGTTATCTAAATATTTATATACAATAATATTTGTACTTGGTTAGTTATCTAAATATTTATATAAACAATAATATTTGTACATGGTTAGTTATCTAAATATTTATATACAATAATATTTGTACTTGGTTAGTTATCTAAATATTTATATACAATAATATTTGTACTTGGTTAGTTATCTAAATATTTATATACAATAATATTTGTACTTGGCACCACCTTTAACTTTAACTGTTCTTTCGAAGTCGCCATTTAATTCATTGTTCTCAATGAAAAAAATGTTAGGGTTTTTTTGGTTAAAATTTGCACATTTTCAAAAAAAATATATTGACCAATATCTGTATTCTATAAACCTCCTTGGGAATAAAACTGACACAAAATCGAATTTTAAAAACATATTTCAATGATAATCTAAGAATCTCAACATTTAGTTGTGATTGCCTGGATCTTCCTAATCTGCCATACACCCAGGTACAGAAGAATGTATTTTAGGAGGTTTAATGGGTTAATTAGTAAAGAAATTAGATGAGGTAAATAATTTGTATCATATTAATATGAGCTTAATGAGTTTAATGAGTTTAATGAGCTTAATAATTTGATGAAATTAATGAGGTATTTATCTAAAGCGCTAAAGGAATAAAATGAGCTAAATGAATTAAGCAAATAATTTGACTAAGATTAATAATTTTACTATGATTAAAGATTTTGCTAAGATCAGTAATTTTGTTAAAATTAATATTTTTACTAAGATTAATAACTTTACTAAGATTAATAATTTTACTAAGATTAATAGTTTAATTAAAATTAATAATTTTACTAAGATTAGTAATTTTATTAAAATTAATAATTTTACTAAGATCTATGATGTTTTATGCGGTTTATAAGTATTAATGAGGGTTATATCAAGGATTCTGCTGAACCTAGTAGAGAACCTACAGATGGAACACTTCTACAACTGTCAGGGGGAGATGAAGGTTCCAGCCTGGTTCCATTGTCTTACAGGGTAGGTTCCATTCACTCACAGGGTGGGTTCCATTAACTTACAGGGTGTAGGTTACATTTTCTTACAGGGTAGGTTCCATTTTCTTGCAGGGTAGGTTCCACTGTCTAACAGGGTAGGTTCCAACTCGTACAGAGTAGGTTCTATTCTTTAACAGGGTAGGTTCTATTCACTTACAGGGTAGATTCAATTTTCTTACAGGGTAGATTCCATTTTCTTACAGGGTAGATTCAATTTTCTTACAGGGTAGGTTCCATCTCTTACAGAGTAGGTTCCATTCTCTAACAGGGTATATATTTCTTTGCTTAGGAACTAGTAAAATTGTTTTAATATTAGTGCGTATGGGTGTTATCAAGATATCTATTTCTAATTAGGTGAGAAAAAGTCTAAGTTCTACGAAATGATCATTTTAGGGGAAAGGTTAATTCTTTTATTATTTGTCTTATCTATATAATATATAAGAAATCAAGTGGTAGGACTTGGAAACAACATTCAACATGAATATTAGAAGTGAAATTAGATTGATTTTCGTAACAAATATTATTTTACGTCACAAGAAAATAATTAGATCTGACAGTTTCAGAAGATGGAAAATATAATATTGCAAATACTGCTTTCACCATACAAACTGAATCTTTCCTTTCAATATTACTTTTCATTTGAAATTATTTCTAATATCGATTAATCTAAACTTGATCGAGTGTTGTTTTTAATCAGAAACTATTTTCATCAATTTCTGTTCACAGAACAGCACCAAACATTGAAAAAGGAACACTCCCTTTAAAAACACCGTTTTATTATTACTAAAGATAGACTGTTGCGTCAGTTTGAATCTAGGGATCGAGCATTGATCTCAATCTTATACAGACCTACAGATCCAGGGGCGGATACAGGATTTAAGTGAGGGGGGTGCTACTGCCCCCCCCCCTGTATCCGCCCCTGTACGGATCTATCTAATTTCTCTTCAGAAAACTCGACACTATAGTTCCTTTCTCTGAATAGTTTATTCATGTTATATGAATCCTGCATCAAATGTTATATATCTAACTAAAGAAAGGTATGGTATCTTCTAGTGTATATAAACATGTATAAAATATACTGTGAATGATGCAAGGGATAATATTAATAGTATACCCGAACCAGAAAAATATATTATTTAGGGTAAAATGTAAATGTTTTAGCAGAGGAAAATTCCCGAAAGGGTATTCTAAAACCCGCAATTTTATTCATATACCGTTGCATGTATGCAAGGGTGTACACAGTATACAGTGAGACCCATAACACTTTGGAATAGAAAAACTATTTTGTAAACACTGGAAATGAGACATCATGACAATTTATCTTGTGGTGGTACACAAATATTAACAACTTAACGCTGGACATAACCCAAACACTCTACAAAAATGAGAAGGTCTAATTTAAGAGAAATAACTGGTACGACTTTGTGACCTCGTAGCTCCTGCTGTTTTGATTCAACGTACAAGTATGAGAAAAGAAAATACAAGAAATACAAAAGATGTTTGTTATTCTTTTCAATAGCTCTGCAACTATAGGAGATATGAACTAGCTGAAGGTTACTTATAATTGGTTCAGCCGTTTACCCGCACTTGGTCTTAAGTTATGATTTTAGCGAAAGTACCTTTTTTTAGCCAATGTTATCCCCAGGGTACCCATGGGTTTCTGAAATTTTTTTTAGCAAATTTGGTCCAGCAGTTTAGCCGCTATATCTAACATACAATATGAGCGAAGAGCATTATTATATAGATTTCAATCTTTAATTTAACGGAGAAAGGGTATTGGATTTTTAAAACTTATTTAAAACATTTTCTCTGCGATTAGGCTAAAATCTAGACTTTTACACCTTATTTTACCCCATACAAAAATACAATATAAATCTACTTTATACCGACTTTTCCGTTCATCATCTATATATAAATTTGACTTGTCTGTTTGTCTGTTTGGGTGTTTGTCTGTTTGTCTGTCTGTCTGTTTGTATCCAATAAACGTCAAAACGGCTGAACCGATCGGGCCCAAATTTTTTGTGGGACATCTAGGGACCCCTTTTATATCAATACAATGAAAACAACTTTTCTATTTAAAGGGAGATACCTGCTAGACATAGTAGTCGAGCTGAAAGTGCAGTATTGTAGAGAAAAACTTTAGGATTAATTTGAGGCATGTCAATGAGACATTTTTATGTTGTACAATTTAAAAATAAGAGCGTTAAGTCGTTTGTAATTTTTCACCAGTTGTTTCAGTCTGCAGAAAAAACGTTTCTTACAATTATTTATTAACCCGGCAAAAGCATGTAAATTATTTTATAGACTAATTTGCTATTTAGGAACATATTTTAATAAAAGAAATTATCGGAGAAAGCCATAATAGAACCGTAGAATCAATTATTTCTTTATCATCATTACCTTAGCTGTTTCTTTAATTTTATTCGCATTTCTTCAAAATATCGTCTTCACAATTAAATTAAAGAAAGCCTCAAACAAGCGATACTAGCTGAAAGAATTTGTATAAATCTGCGAGATTTAAAAATTCATTTTAAAACTTATTTTCAATGATATATGTAAATTATTTTTCTCAACCTGTTTGTATACATGCAAGAAGAGTGTTTGTTTCATGTTATTTAAGAATTGTAAAAAAGCGTTTCTTCTGTTGACTGAAATACTACAAACTACTTTCAGCTCAACTACCATGTCTAGCTCACTCCTGTATGCCGGTCCATTAGCGCCTGATCCAATCAGGGTTCAGTCATGTGTTTGTTGTCTATTTTGAACCAATAAAATAGTATTGCGGTAACATTTATCTTTCTATCTATCTCATCATCCAATTAGAGATATGAATCCTTCAATCGGCGCTATCAGTAAATGGAAATATGCTCTTTTACTGAAACTATAGTGAGCCGGGTTCTCCCTTAACAAGCTTTTTCTCAGATTAATAAGTTTAAAAGTAAATTAATGAATCTGTTAATTGACAACTTCTCTTTGTTTTCAAGTTTGTGTACATCCATGCTGTTTGAAAGCTTTTATAAATAAAATGTTCAATCGAAGGTCGTCTTCATTGTATTAAAATGAACGACGACGACTGTATATACTAGTTGAATTAAGTGCCCGGCCTTATATTCAATAATGGTGATAAAAATATTGAATATTTTTTTGGCCTGCTTAAGTTTGTAGTGAAATAAGTGCAGTTTCATGTAAAAAAAATCGTCGAGACATAAAACGGAAGTTCGAGGAATATTTTATTTTCAGTTTCTGGACTCTGTTATCAATAGGGATAAAATGAAGATAAATTCTCAACAAAGAACTTTTAGTATTTTCAGTGGTTTAGAGTGAAGTTTAGAGTGAAACAATGTTAACATAATCTAATTCTTTCGATGATTTGGATCAGTAACAACAGAAAACATCAACTTTAATCAGGATATCTAGTTAATAATTACTATTGTCTAATTAGCAAAATTTAAAATAAAGATTCATGTTTTTGTTCCACAAAACTAGGATTTATGTCAAATCAAACATGGCGTGATTATCTTTTGTTCTGTTTCATATAAAAAGTTCCGCTTCTGTATTTCATAGAATGGGTCCTCCCTCATGGTCTANGGAGAATCCCTTTATAGGAGGATAGGGACATGGTCTAATAAGGGGGGGGGGGGGCATTAGCTTGGTAGGGGAGAATCCCTTTATAGGAGGATAGGCCATGGTCACTGATCAGAAGGGTTGCAAAATGCAAACGAGTTCAATTTCAAATTTTCCATCTATAATTTGTATCGAAGATTTGTTACAACGTTTCCTTTCATCTTTTCTAATGAAGTTCCGCGATTTATTCAAAAAAAATTATAAGTTCAGAATTTGACAGTTTTCTACGTCTGAATTGTTTCTAATTTACAAATAGTGACCCTAAAATACTGATAAAAAAAAACAAGGATACCCAAATAGATTATCAAGTACAATAGGTGGCAACGGAGAAATGGACCATTATACACGACGTCACAAGTGTCAAATATAACAAGGAAAGCGAAATTGTCTCACATTAATTGACATGTTTTCCAAGATTAAATAAAAAAGTGTAAAAACAGAAACCAAAGAACATATAAAATTGCACTTATTTTATTGTAATAAAAGCACTTTATTCTAAAATTATCACTATTATTGATGATTTTGTCGGACTCAAAAACTGAATTGACACTTGTGACGACAGAATACAACTGTACTGAGAGTGTACAAATTCTACGTTGCCATCTATTGTACTAAAATCTGTTTGAGGATACCACTGTACGAGAATGGCCTCTCCTTTCACCCTTAGTTCTTGTCTTCTAAATCTTTGTAGAATCTAAACCCAGAACTCTGGACAAACCTCAAAGTAATCCAAAGGTTGCAAGCTCTAATGCAAAAATTAAGGGAGAATTTTGTCAATCACTTTCAAAATCGAAGCTAAACGCAAGTGCTTTAGAGTTTTAAATTTACATGTTTAGGCCTACACAAACGTACAGTTGAGTTAGTAAACTTAAAGACCAAGGCTTTGCAATAATGCAAAGTCGGTATACACTATACAGTCTTGATGCAAATGTTCAGAGCAGTCTGGATCTCTTTCACCCAAACATCCATCACCGCTCTATGGCCTATAGTGTCTATGATGGACCTTAGAATTAGGTCAATATTTTGCATAGCAGCAAATGGCACGTAGAGAAATGATTTAGAATATAAACTTTCTCGTAAAAAAATCATGTATTTTTACTATTATTTCTACTTGATTTGTTTATTTTCTCTACAACGTTGATTTAAATAATAGATTTTAGAATATTCGAAATGGTTTTGCGCCAAATGAAAGCGTCAAACGGAAATACTTTACCACAATACCCCCTCCAAGATTAAATATAGTTTGATGGCACATTTTCGGGACTTTAAAAAAATCTAATGGCCGAAAAAAAATTTTAATCGGTTTTTGAGCCACACTGTACTGGGTTAATCAATAATTATAGGACTTTTTAATGCTTT